TGGGGGGGGGGGGGGTGCGTCATTTAGATCAATGATAATTTTTTTCGAAACTCAAAATCTCAGTGGGGGAGGCGACTGGGGGGTGGGCGACAAGGGGTGGATGGCGCCTCCCACGCCCCCCCCCCCCCCCCCCGTGGCTACGCCACTGCAGGTCATACAGTTAAAGTTTATGTAAACTTGTATGAAAAGTCAAAGAAAAGTAACTCTCATGATCTATTTGACACCAAGTTTGTGTTAACTTGCCGGTAACGCCCTAAAAAAATTATCCAGACAAATATGTTTATTTTGTAACATTTTATGTTCGTCTGTCGGTCTTCTATGCTGTTATGTTTACTTTTAGGTACCTTCAATGGTACTATGTTTAATTAACCTGTTCATTTGTTTAATTAAACTAATAACGCACATATAGTTGCCAAATATGGCACTAACAAGTTTGAGGTCGGCAATTTCGTCTTTAAAAATCTTGGTACGTCGGGTTACCGTACACACAATTGTCCTGGAAACAACAGTACCAAAGTACAGAAACTCGTACGCAAGAGCTCCCCAGCAAGTATCGCTGACGCCATTAGGCCTATGATTCCAAAATTTTTCACTGTGTCACACAGTGAAATAACTAAAAAGCGTCGTTGTATTGTGGACACATAAAAGCATTCAAGTCGCGTTCTTGCACACTTTCTGCAAGTCGACTGGATATCCTTGAACCACTGCCCCTGCTTTGCATAACAAGTGCACATGATTGAACGATTCGACTTTTATTCAAAGAAATTTCTATGTACAGTCACCAGACTCTATTCAGTAAAGTCCCCGTCAAAACGAAAGTAAACAATCCACGTGCATAACGCACGGCTACACCATCGTACAGTGTGGCAGGGACACCAACAAGTAAAACAACAATTAATTTTTGTTTTTTTTTAAATGGATAAATATTCTGATTGAATTTTCGTTAAAAGATACTTGTTGGTGAGGTATCACATATTTTATCACATAAAAGAGGATGACCAACAACTTCACGCCGTCACTGAACTAGACACACATGTACATGGTGTTCAAGTACATGTACATGCAAGTGCATGTACATGTACAGTCATGTTCAGTTTTTTTATTAATCGAAATTAGGGGTGGGTGGGTGGGTCAAAATAATTTGGAAAAAAAGTCGAAATTTTAAAACATTGAACATTCTGAATGGCCCCTTAATCCGAAATTCAAAAGCGGTGGCGTCCGGAAATTGGGCACAAATTGGCGGAGTGTTCCCTAACGTGGCGCACTTGAATAAATCTCGGAAAATTCCAATTTAACATTTAAGAATTTCTGTAAACTTGATAAATTCTGATAAACAATTATTATCTCTACTTACATGCCCAGCCAGATGTTTGTCAGAAAATTATTTTCTTATTTTTCGGGGCATTTTTAAAGGGTTCACTTTGCACTTGAAAATAAAATCGGAAAATCACGCCAATGTAGTTTTTTCTTCTAACTTTGTTACGGGTAAATAAACTAACGATTTATGAAGAGGAGTGTTTAGAACTTGATGAAATTTCACTTTCTTGGAAATTTCAGTTAAACCTTTGCTCTAGGTAGGCGCTACAGGCGAAAAATCAAAGTGCGCTACGTAAGGGGCCGCGCCACGTTAGGGTACATCAACAATATTAAGCTTGAAAAGTGCATGACCTAACATACTTTTGTGTTGATTTGAATAACATAGAGCTATGTTGCATGTGTGTAAATAAGCCAGGATCGAAGATCACGCCTTAAGCGCTGCAGCTACATTGTGGTTTCAGACAGGCAATGTATTTATTAAATTTCCATTGATTGTAAACAACTATACAACACTCGATCTTTGGACGGAGTCGTTCCTGTTTCAAACATCAAATTGTCGGATTTCGGTTCAACGCGACTCTGGAACGCACTGAAACGGGCGTCAAAGCACGAAAAAAGATAAGAAAAAAAAAAGACTCGGCTCAGGTAAGAATTCGTTTTAACTTTGAATGACTGTAACCATCTATTTTATTGGCTATTTTCGAGGCTACGGCTATTGCTGTTATCATACTTTATTTTATATGACGTGCCTTCACATAGTCACTTAACCCTAAGGGGCCGGGGAGCACGGAATCCGCCCCACCTCGAATTTTTCCGCGATAGACTTGATTTTTTTTTTCGCAACCCGAGCTGTTACGACTTTTTAGCCTCGAGTCTTGCGCATCTTTTAACACAAACATTTTTCCGCCGCTAGGCGCCGTGAAAACTGAATTTCCCCATATACGTAGTGTACACAGAGCAGAATTACCATTCATGCATATGAATAATTAATTAGCCATAATTCCAAAATGACCTATAGTCATGACATTTCTTGGGGTATGTTTATGATAAGTTGTGCTATGTAATGTACCGAGTTTTATAATTTTTCGTCGCTCGATGGCCAAGATCTTGGGGGGGGGGGGGGGGCGGATTCCGCCCCCGGCTAATAGCTGGTCAAAATATTTCTTTATGGGTAATTTTGAAGGACTTAGTTTTTTACTGTTCATATGCACATTTGACAAGGAGTTCCTTGTATGACAAAAGCAAAATAGCGCCCTCTTACATGAAAGGATTTGCTAATAATGGAAAAGCTTCCACTTTCTTGCCACTTTCAATGGAAACAAGTATTAAGATCTTGTATGTATTGTTGCAGCACCTATAGTAATGTGCATAAAAACAAGATGAGCTGAATTTCCACTGCGTGTTTCCTTTAACCCAATTTTTGTTGTGTGATTCCTCACTCTTTGAAAGGTTTGTGAAGAAGCCTGCGAGTGAACAATGGCGTATAGCTGGGGCTCAGTTCATTTTCGAGAGGGACATTCAATGGGTCAATGACAACAAATCACTGATTTTTGCCTACTCCGTTGTAAGTTGAGCGGAAGGCCGGGGCACGTCCGTGGTGGGGTGGGGAGGGGGGCATGCGTCGTTTACCCTCCTACTTTATACGCCACTGCTATAGAAGATTTTCCACTTCAAGTTATGTTCATTCACTGAAAGTTTCCGGTCAGGCTCTTCAACGTATTCGATTTTGTTCCCTGAAAGAATTTTGACATTTGTTTTGTTTCTTTGACAAAAACGTTTTTTTCCCCTTCTATATAATTATAGGCGTCTGCGCTCTGAAATTTTTATTTTTTATTTTTTGAGCGCCACAACATCTGCCCCTGGAAAGACTGGTTACCGGTTTCCACTTTATATATTTTTAAAGAGGTGAGAACTGGGAACCCATCTATCCTATACGAGAACTAAATTAATGTCAGGCCGCAAATGGAAATTTGTGAAGTAATTAACCGGGGGAAACCTCGACTTTCCCCCGGTTGTTTTCGAACCTCACAATGTGCTACGTAATGTTTGTCTTATGATTGCAACCTTCGCCACGTGTGCAAACCTTAATTATTCGCATACCTTAATGATTTAGGGGCATTTTTTGTGTAGGGATCTCATTCAATAGCCCTGAAACATAATGTTGCGACGTTTTGTTTACATGTGCCAGGCGCAGATTCGGGGGACCCCCCCCCCGCCCCCAGCTCGGTCCCCCTAAAAAAAAGTCATAGAAAATCTGTAAAAATTCAGTTCACAAAATACAGTTCACAAACGCCAGTTCACAAAATACGGACAGAGCTTGCTTGATTAGGGGGTATTTGTACACTATTCATACACTATTTATACAAAGGCCATCAACATGTTCGGACTTATAAAACGAAATTTCAGCAATTGTTCAGCTAACATTGTGAAAAAACATTATGTCTCTCTTATCCGATCTCGTCTAGATTACTGTTGCATAGCTTGGGACCCATACAGACAAAACCACTCTTCTGTTGTAGAACGTGTACAAAACCACAGTGTTAGATTTATCTGCAGAGACTGGAATACAAGCTATGACCCCCCTTTTTGAACAATTAGGCTGGAGTAATCTCCAAACTAGAAGAAAATTCATTCGTTTGGTTGTGTTTTAATGTGTTTTAAAATTCTTAAGGGCTTCATCAATATTAATGCCCTTCATAAGTTTCATCCAGCCTCGAGAATTGGGCGAAATGATACTAGCCTGAAACTCAATATTCCTTTTGCCCGAACTGATTGTTTCAAACATTCGTTGTTTATACGTACTGCAAATGAGTGGAATAGTCTGCCTGAACACGTCATCCAAAGTTCATCTGTGAATGTGTTCAAAAGTTCCCTGTTTGATTTTTTGACCTTTTAGCTTAATATAGCATCTTTTTATTTTTGTTTTTTATTAAGCAAGTTGTTCGTTACATATTTTTACATATTTTATTAGATATATATATATTTTCAACTTTAATTTTTTTTTTAATTTAAACTCTTTTAATGCTTCACTGTTGTGTGTATTTTGGTTTTATTGTGCATTTCCATTGTTGTTTAATGTTATTTTGACCCTATCTTTCAGAATTACATTTACTAGTTTAAACGATTTATTGTTGCGTGTAATTGTTTGATAATATCTCTATTTTATGTCCTTTGTTTTTGTTGGCCAGTTGGTTTGAGGTTTTTTTTCCCCCTTTTAAATTTATATGTAATTTTTTTAACGTTTTATTATTGTGTGTAATGTTTGTCCGCGAATCTATTTTATCTTCCTTGTTTATTTTTTTTTGGTTGGTCATAGGTTTGTTAATGTTAATTTTACTTTTTCTTTTCTTCTTATGCATTAAATTTCAAATGTATCCTTTTTGTTTTACAGTTTACATGATTACTTTAAATGTTTATCTTTAACTGATAACTGTTAAGTTTTTATAGTATTTTATACGGGAAGTGGTTTAAAATGGGCTGTACAGTCTTTTCACAACCCATGACTTTGTCAACAAATTTATAGTAATATTCTGTAATATAGTGTTAATAATCGTCGGATTTGAACAGCGCCCCCATTGAAAGTATCTCTTGATTTTCGGAGGTCACGTGTCCGGAGAAAAAAAAACTGTCAACATTTCAGATTTATTTTGCTGATGAAACCCTTCCTGCGAAAATTCCTGGATCCGCCCCTATACGCTTGCTTTTAGGTACTTGGTGGCTCTCGTCAAAACATATTTTATTGTTTCTCCACACGATTCAAGTTGCAAGATGCCTTTAAATGTTCTCCGTGGAATGCCGTTACCCTGGCGAGCGCTGGACAGCAATCTTCAGGGTGCATTCGACTTAGATGTTCGGAAGAATGATGTGTTCGTCATTTCCTACCCCAAATCAGGTACGCCCACTTCAGACATTCGTGATATTTTGATTTTTAAAATCAATGTTCAGATGAGCAAGCCACATAAATAATGGAAGAAGATTTAATCCGGGTCTCATCTGGACTCTATTATGCGACCGAGCTTTTGGCGATATGCTGACGTATCCTTCTCTTTGTTTGAATCCGATGTTTTGAAACCATTTGCAAACATTGAATATAAAAAACATTATCAAAAAGCCGACTTGATCGACGGTAAATATCCGACTCCATGAAATGTGGACTAGTATGTGGTAATATTGCGCATGCGTAAGTACGATAATAGGAGAGTGACCTGGCATGTTCGAGGGATTAGGCCTAACCAATAATAGCGAAAAAAGAGGTCCGATATTCATAGGAGTCAGATTTTCATATGACACCGGCGTTGTTCCTGCAATCGGAAAGAATTATTCATTTTTGTTTGCAAATATAAGCTTAATTTGTTTTCCAGGAATCTCTTTTTTGGGGTGTTCCTTTTATATATATATATATATATATATATATATATATATATATATATATATATATATATATATATATATATATATATATATATATATATATATATATATATATATATATATATATATATATATATATATATATATATGTTCTGGCAGGTACAACATGGTTAAGGAATATCATCAGTTACATGCTGGGATGCCCTGAGGAACAAACCAATATTGGTCTGCCGTTGGAACTGAGCATGTGCAGTGGCGCGTCAGAGGAGGAGTTACAAACAGCGCCCCCAGTGTACAAGCTGATCGAATCTTGGCTTTCTCCGAGGGTGATCATGACCCATCTGCTACCCCATCTACTGCCTGCTCAGCTCTTTCAGAAAAATGCCAAGGTATCAAGATTCGATTTTGCTTTCAATAAAATAAACTTCACGTTCAGTCTCTTGCTCCCGTTTAATATTCCACTTTGTGAGCCACCTTGTTTTCTCCCTTCCTATAATATATCTAGTTCGTATAGACCAATACGGGCATGCTATCACTTTTATCACGAAGCGAAAGAATGCTAGCTGTTGTTCGCGGTCAATTGAAATTAAAAGATTTGAGATACCCCGCATCGAAAATTTGATGTATTTTTTTCCGCGAACTGTACTTCCGATTTGAATGAATTTGGTGACAAAACATCCCAAAACATCCATCTGAAAATCTCTAAAGGTTCGGCACGGAAACAAATTGCGAGGCGATGATGTCGGGGGAAAAATGTAAAGTCATTTTATGTATTTCTTTGTCATTTAATACCAAACAAGAAAGTTTGAATTACAGCATGACTTTGGAGTTAAGAAGTCCCTTTTATTATTGTATAATTCTTAGCAATATACTTTTACTATATTAATAAATTAAAGTTATCATATCTTTTGCTTTAGCTTTTTATTACAATAAGAATAGATACATCATTTAATCTGATATATAAGATAATTGACATTAGTTGCTTGGTCAAGTGTCTTTTGTTTACTGTTATCTGAATATATTAAACAAACACCCGAGGACAGACACACACAGGGAGAAAAACATATTCTTTGTTGTCCTCGAGAGTTCATCTTTTGTTGAAAGCGGTCCTCGATTGAGTTTGTGTGCTTAGTGTGCAGTGTTATATAAAAGGGACATAGGGAAAGATAATACCTTGTCCTCGAGATTTATGTAAAACACGACTGATCTTGTAATTCTTTACGACTGAGGACTTGGGCAATGGGGTGTGTGCGATTACATTAACCCGGAGAACCTGAGCCAGGTCCTCGGGAGGTTTTTATGTACAAACCTTGCGGGAGATGACGAGAAAAAGTTAGGGTACAAACTATAAGAACAAAAGAAGGAACAATAGGAGGTCAGGTATAGGATAACACGATTGCTCTAACCTTACATAGTCTTTGTGGAGGTCCACGGGATGCAGGAAGCGTGAACGCTTCGTGGTCTTGCACACGTCCACACTAGGTTCCCCTTCTCTGGAAAACAGATTTAAAGGCATTTTGGGTTAGGTTTATCTGTCGCAAAATGAATTAACAAAGGAATGTCCACACTAGGCATGTAGCGTAAACATGTGTGTTCACAGTGGGAGTAAAATCTCCACTGAGTTTTCCTTAACTACACGAATACAATTAAGGAATGTATGTAAGGTAAGGCTGTGAACATGGACGCGTTCATTCAGAATTTCAAACCGTGGACGCCAAAATGCCGGAGAACAAAAGAGAACAATATCGTCCGCGTTTCCCAGCATACGTCGGCGATCGGGGTCGTGCATGTACAAAACACAATATGGGAGTCTTCTTAATGAGCCTACAAACAAAAGAGGGACAACAGGACGTCCACAATTGACGGTGTGAATACAACTATAGTCCTACGTACTTGTTCTACATAACCCGAGGACAGAAACACAAAGGGAGAACAACAAATCCTTTTAGTCATATCGGGAGCTAGGTCTTTTGTTCCAAACGGTCTTCTGTAGTAGGTTTGTGCGCTTAGTCTATGGGAGTGTGTTATAATATACAGGGACAAAGAAAACACATAGCATTGCCCTCGGGAGTACAATAAAACAAGAGCGGGGTGTGAGTGTGGGGATTTTTGGGGGGGGGGGGTTGAGGCGTTGCAGTCTAGTAAAGCATAAACCAAGCAATGAACCGCGTGTAGGCCTAATTTTCAGTGATGACAGAATCTTCTCATCGATGTGTTTTTACACAGGTTTTATACATTGCTCGCAACCCTAAGGATATAGCGGTGTCGTACTTTCATTTCTTCGAAGCACTGAAGGCGCCAGACCCTTGTCCTTCCTGGGAGCAGTTTGTTCCACTCTTCATGAAGGGAGAAGGTAAGTAAAACATGTATTGAGCTGAATTCTTGAGGTGGGCGTAGCTGATCAGTGATGGAAATAAGGGGAAGGGGTATGCTCTAAATGCTGGCTCTTTTAAATTATGTTCAAAAAGTAAGTTCACGCTTCTTTTGAAACTTTATAGGAAACAATTTGATGTAAATATTATTCATCTATTTCTGCCATCAATTTTTGTTTTAAAGTTCCATTCGGATCCTACTTCACCCATGTTAAGCAATACTGGGAGATGAAACACCACAACAACTTCCTGTTTCTCAAGTATGAAGATCTGAAAAAGGTACGGTATTCGCGTAGAAAATAGGGCCTATGTTTTACAATTCTTATTCCCAATTTCAAACTATTGCAATTTTTATCTCTTAATACTTTTGTCTCAACTTGTTCTTTTTTCTTTCCATTTTAATTTATGAACATTAGAAAGTAGTTTTAATTACTTATTTAGTGCATAATTCGGCCAGTCCTGTTCTATACAGCAAATGGATGCCTTGCAGCTTACATCAATTGTGTTCTTGCGTGTTCATAGACTTGAGAAGACCCTTTCGTTCTCTCAAAGTCATTTCATTTTCCTTAATAATGCATGACTCTACAAGTTAGGGGTCTGGCAAAGAGTATCCAGATTGTGCCTTGAAAATGCTTTGAAAATACTTCATTTATAATTTTGCACGTTTTCTAGCAAAAACAAAGGTATTCACTTTTGAATTACGGCATTGAAAAAATGAACTAGAAATCTGCCCATTTTTCTTGCGCAATAATTACATCTCAAATTTCGAAATATTTCCAGGGTGGGGATTGGGGGGGGGGGGGGGCATCTTGGCCCCTGGCGTCAATTTGTCTCAGGAAATGAAAGCGACAGCACCTCACAACCGGAACTACTACAGGGGCGGGTCCAGGATTGTAGTAGGGGGTGTCAGGCCCGTCAGATTTTGTTATGTTCGATTTTTGATTGTTACGTTCGACTCGGATGCGCTACTGGTTGCAGACGCCCAAAAGAAGAGCAAATAATTTTCGTAAAAATATAACAAACAAATTCTACTTTCGTTTAATGAGAAAACAAACATTCGAATTCACTGAAGAGCACAAGGAGAATAACTTTCGGCAGATGATAATTTATGTTGCAGGAAGAACAAGCTGTCATCAAACAAGTGGGAGCATTTCTTGGCAAAGAACTAGACATCCAAGACATCTCATCTATCTCGAGCAAATGTTCACTTGAGAGCATGCGCAAAAGGTTCAGTGAAAACACCCAGGCAATGTCCAAGATCATTGACGAAACAAAAACGCAGTTCGTGAGAAAAGGTAGGGTAAACGATAATGTTTTGAGGTTATAATAGGCTTTCCCGGTTACTTAAACACACATTCAAATTCCTTTTTTTCTGGGGGAGGGGGAGGGGTGGGTTGGGGTATTGTGTTGTGGCAGTAGTGAGGTACATGTAATTAATCCGGTGTGAAACTATAAGTGACATGTACCAGTGTACAATTTTGAATAAAGAAATCTTTCCGTTCTCGTTAGTTTTATTTGGATTCCTACCCAAATTACACTTAATTTATTTCCCTCCTCCAGGGAAAGTTGGCGACTGGCGGGAATATCTGACGGCAGAGCAGAGTCAACGTTTCGATCAACTGTATGAGGAACATCTTGGCAATACTGGCCTGACATTGGAATGTTAATTAACGTCCTACATAGCAGTGTTGTAGGACTCGAGTCCAGGACATCGGACTCGAGTCACATTTTTCATGACTCGGACTCGACTCGAGTCACGTTGTAAAATGACTCGGACTCGACCATGATGACTCGGACTCGAGCTTGGTGACTCGAGACTCGAGTCACGATTTTCATTAAAAGAAAAAACCCACAACGTTACGTTTTCAGGGGCCGCCGGCGCACGCACGCCCTGCGCCTGCATGCACGACGAGCACCCCGCAGGCCCGGTGTCATGCCAAAAAGATTCCGGTATCATGGAGGAGGTTTATTTTAAGGATTGGAATTAAAAGGAAAACACATTTTGGGTCTAAACAACATCTACTAGCACGTTTGTGTATGGTTTAAATCGAGGATTTTCTTTTACGGTTCCTCTTCCCTTTTCCTTTGTTTGTACTCTTTCGCAACAGCTCTCATTGGTTTTGTACACGTTTTCTAATCGAGGTCGTCCTCGATTTGGTTCCTGTCCGCGATTCACCGATGATGTTGCACTTCTGTGTCCTCGATTTACACCATAAACAAACGCACACACACACACCCACACCCAGACACACAAGGTAAACTGTAGGCCTATACACTGAGATTTACTTCAAAGACAGAATGGATGATTGAAAAATAAATCTTAAAAATTATTAGTTTGGTGAACAGCTAAGAACCAGTGACTGGAAACTCGGACTCGGACTCGAGGCTTGTGACTCGAGACTCGGACTTGGGGCTCGGACTCGACGCTGGTGACTCGACTACAACACTGCTACATAGTGCGCAGTCGGCTTGCCGCATTTTATGGTTAATTGTTTTAATTTTCATATCAAATCACAAAAACATAATTAACAAGAATCTACAATGCCAAAAAAGGTCAAATTTTTCCCAACTTTTTACCCAACGTTGGTACAATAGTCAACATCCAAATATTTCGAGCGAAAAATGCCCAGCGGCCGTTGGGCAAACACATTTACCCAAAACTTGGGAAAAATTACAGACCTGGGTACATTTAAACATTGATTCGAATTGTTGGTAAGCAATTAACTGAAATATGGTCAATAATGTTGACTAGTTGTTGGTTAGTATTTTCTCAATTATTGGTTACTAAAGAAGAGTCATTATGTTGGGTACCATATTGTATAGATTTGCTCAATTTTAGGCCAATTTTTTGACCAATGGTTGGTGTTTGCGGAATGCTTACATAAGAGATACCTTTAAAGCGAGGCTTGATTTTTTAAAAATATTTTACTACAAACATCATCATCAAACAGCAAACTTTTGAACAATTTTAAACACTTTTAAACTTAACACTTTTAACAAAACCCTTTAAAGCATTTAAAGGGGAGTTGATCACGCTACATGCGTTTTTTTAAATAATGATCTTTTTCAAATACGATTTTCAAAGAGATGATTAAAATTTAAATCTGCAAAATTTCCCTTGATCACCTGACAATAATTATGACTTGGTGTTCAATTATTTTCAGAATTAAATATAACTCGAGTCCAGACAACATGTTCTAAAAATGTATATGTTGATGACTTGCTGTTTAATTATTTCAGAATTAAATATAACTCGAATCAAGATAACATGCTCTAAAAGAATCTGTTGGTGACTTGATTTTCAATTACTACATAATTAAATAAAACTCAAATCAAGCATGTTCTGAAGAAAAAATACAAAATGTCAGCTCACGATGATCGCATTCTGTTAATACAATTCATCAAACTGTTCAAAATTATGTTTGATATTGGAATTGGGTCCTTTATGTGCAAAATGGTAGATGCGTCTCAGAGTAACATGGGTTCCCCCATTAATTGTTGGCTTTGAGTCTGTATTTGTTTAATAAACTGTTGTTAAACATGTCATATAAGGCATTTTAACCAATGTATCTAGCACTCTACAATTCAACTAACGATGAGTGTTTTTTTGTTACAATAGGCCTTATGATGGCCTTCATCAGAGACTGCTGTGATAAAGTCCATTTCTCGATTATCACAAACGCGTCTTTTGGCTCTAGCACAGATTTGCTGTACACGACTAGCACGTAGGGCTGGTTTTGTCTCACCAATGATGTCCACATATGTTAGCATATTTATCATGTCCTTCATGAAAAGAAAATTCAAACAAAAACAAAAAATGAAAATTAAATAATTCACTTAATTGAATAACTTCAAGGAGCCCAATCGCAACACCCCCAAACAAAATCTAGCAAATGGGACAAAATGCACTCAGAGCCCTAATTAAAACATGTGTGAAGCATGCATTGAACAAAGGCAGTGTTCAAACGATGTGTTAATTCGCACATTTGAATGAGTGCACATGTGGCCTCTGATTCACGTCGAGTAGAAAGGTTATCAATATTCAACCATTTACAGGCCTTTACTTTACTTTTTGAGAAATTTCATTTTCTGAACAACGTTGGGCAGGAATTGTTTCCAATGTTTGTGGAAACTTTTTTTTCGGCAATGATCTGTCCTCTTTATTTACAAACCTACCTTAGTTTGAAATCAAACTCAATTCTTCATTGCACTGAGATTTATGTTCAACAGTACAATATCATGAAATGGCAACCCCAACGATATAATAATATGCTTGTGACATTGTATCGTGTAGGCTAGGTCTACCTCGTGTACATGTAGCTAGGCAACATGAACATAATTATGGGCCTGAAATTTGCTAGGCCTGTTACCTAACCTCCATGATGCGACGATTAGCATTCTGAATAAACTCATACATAAAAGTTATCTCAGCTTCTTAATTATCTGGGAAACACGAAAACTGATTTCTTACTCAAATATGTACCACTCAGGTCCGACAGCCCTCATTCTCTCAACAAATCTTCTGCCACCGTGACTCATTTCGCGAGCTACAAATGCTGATATATATGGCGTACCCCAGCACTGCAAAGTTAGCAAACAGTGCCCTCTCTCTCTCGAGTAAAAATTCCCAATATGTTTGGGAAAACAAAATTATTTTGCTCAACATTTTAGTGAGTTTACATATTAGTAAGTTTTTTTCAAACCTTCAAATAGATAGATAGATTTTAGTAAGTTGTATCAAACCATGAAATAGATACCGAATAAATGGACAACGTGTGCCCAAATCATAGAAATTATTATTTGATAAGTTGTTCGACATGCTATTTTACCCAACTGAAAATTGTTTCCATTTGTTGGGTGAAATTGCCCAACAAATGCCGAAATGAAGTTGCCCAGCTATCATTTACCCAGCATTTTTTGCAGCGTATATAAAGAATGTCAAAAATGACAAGACCTGGAACCCGTAATTACAAATTAAGCTTATAAAGTTATATGTAGGGCTACATACACTAGGCTGAATTATATCGGGTGAATACATGTATACTAATGCAATTGAAAAGAAATTTAATTAACAGCAAATATTCACATTCGTATGAATAAACGTACTTTTTTAAATCTTTCAATTACAAGGAAGGACGTAAATTAATTACAGTAATACAGGAAAGGAAGGAAGAGGGAAAGGAGCAAAAAGTGACCAAGGAATTATAAAATAATAATGATACTTTTTCAACTATCCGTGAGATGACATGAAATTGAGTATTTATTTTGATACTTAATTATCAGTATTTGTCATAATAGCAACGAGGGGGCAAAGCACATTCCCCCCCCCTGTTCTTTTTCAACATACATTGTACTATTGATTTATCATTTTTCGAGGGTGGGCAGGGACATTTGGCGCCTTCCCCCTTTGCTTTTCCAGAGGTAGGGGGGGGGGGGCAAGCACACCCTTCCCCGGATTAATGGGGTAAAACGAAGATAGTGCTATCACCACGACTCAACGAAGGTAAGTGTTCTTCCAGCAAAACGAAAAGAAGTCACATTTATATTCGTTTTGCTGAAAGAACGCACACATTTTTTTGGGGGGGGGGGGGATCCGTGGGCAGAACTTTAAAACGGTGGTTGAAAATTACATGAGTGATTTGAATGATTATTGTACTAAAAGAAAGCTTATGAATTGGGCTTTCATATCCTAGATTTTGTGCTACATGCAAAACTTCACTAAAACAATAGTCCCGACACTACCTCAAAGTTTGTGCATAATGGGCGTAAATCCCGGGGCGGGGGGGGGGGGGGGGGGTGGGTATACCGAGGGGCGGCTGAATGCTTTTCAAACTGGGAGGGGGGGGGGGGCAACACCAAAAACGGGCACTTGCTCAGAAAAGGGGGCACCTTATCCAGGGCACAATTTGTTGGTTTTTTTTTTAGGGGGGGGGGGGGGGGCGGAGGCCAAACCAATTTGGTCCCAAAAAGTGGGCCCCGAAAAAATGGATGATTCTAGATGCTCTGTGGTGCGATCTGAGGCAATTTCTGACCACTTTAAGCATTAAATGGTTATTTTTTTAAGGAAAAGATGGTGGTACTAGTGGCTGCCTTTTTTTGTGACGTCACTAAAATAAAAGTTGGGTTCTCTTTTTTTTTTGGGGGGGGGGGGGGGGAGAGGCAAGGCCCCGTTGGCCCCCCCCCCCCTGAATCCGCCCTTGGGCCTTTGGCACACCGCACGTCCACACCCTCCGCCCCGGCAGTAACCTCTCTGGGTCCGCCCATGAATTTGACTATAGCTATGTAGAGCGACCATTTTTTTTTTATCGCGGGAGGGGCACTGTTGCTTTTAATAGCCAGCTCAGTGACCATTTCTATTCGCGTGAGGAGGAGCACAATTATTTTTAAAGGCCAGTTTTTCATGAGAGGGGCACAATTTTAATGTTGCGAGCGGGGCATTACTAAAATTGTGCTTCCGAGGGCCAGTTTTACATCTCGAGAAGTTATCGCGAGAGGAGCACTATTGTTTTTGATGGCCAATTTTCCATTTCGAGAGGGGAACAATTTTATTATTGCGAGAGGGGTGTTTGTGCTTGCGCTTTCGAGGGATAGTTTTCCATAGGTGAGAAGGTGCACAATCTTGTTAGTGCCAGAGGGCACTTTTGTTTTTGAGGGGCAGTTTTAATTACAAGAGAGGAGACAATTTTATTTCATGACTTGTGTGCGTTTGAGGGGCAGTTTCGTTTTCATCTCGAGGTGGCACATTTATAACCGCGAGAGGGGCACTTTTGTTTGCTTGGGAAATCTGGAGGGGCAAGTGCCCCCCCCCCGGTTCCGCTGCCCCTGAGCATGATAAACCCTTTACATTTTGACCGGGTGGGCAATAGACTACAATACTGAATAGATAGAAATACTAACAGTCTGTCATTAAAACACGTCAGTGAAGTCCGTTGAGTACTTATACCTCCGGGAATGAAAGTTTTGTGATGTTATGAGGACTGGTATGGGCAGTTCACAGTCATGTGCACCTTTAGCTCATAAAAAAAGGCTAATGATGAGGAACGATAAGATTGCCAAATATAGCCAAAGTTATCCGAAATAAGACTTGACCACGGGACTCACTATGAAACTCCATGGGATGATGAATGATTCATCACAATCCGAAGGATCGAGGCGAAACCGGGGTTTCAAAACTTCCCCGTGAAAAGTTTACTTTTCAAGCCAGGAATTATCAACCTCGTCCCCAGTGCTTACTTTATTGCCAACCTAGTTGCCAGTAGTGGTGGGCACGTACTGCTCGACACCCTGGGGACGAGGTTGAGGAATTATAGACCGCAGAACGAGTAGGTGGACGAGACTACATGTCAAAGGTCACAGCGCGGTAAAATTGTGAAGTAATTTTCTGCACGCGTGTAAAACTTGCAAAGAAAGGCATCGGCGCGGGACCACAAAACTAGGCCTGTCTCTCTCAGCATGGAGGAGTGAATCAAATTTCATCATAATATGGGAACTGCGGCGATTCCAGTTATTCAGGTATTGAAGTAGGCCTAGCATGCATGAAAGCATGTAGGGAAAGAATGTAGCACCCAGACGTACGCCACTTCGTTGGTTGGGTACAAAGTCTATGGACAGTCAACATCAACATGGTCAAGAAGTTTTCAAAGTATCGTCCGGTCAGCTAAAACGACGCACTTGTGTAATGACGCACTCACCCTTTACTCCTAGCACTATGAATTCGCGTGATTTGCTTAGTATGTTGAACACAATGTTTGCGTGCAAATCAGTGCGACAGTGCCTGTGGATGTGGTGAGAAACTTGTCTGGAAAATACACCTTCTTTGAGGGAAAAACGCACTTAAAAAAAAAATTAAAAATATAAAAAATCAGGGGGTGAGTTAAAATCGAGGCGGGCGGTGAATCCCTAAAAATCAATGTTGATTGGCCGTATAAACAAGCAACTTCCGACTTTGATTTTTTTTTTTAACTGGTAGGACCCTAGCCCGACTGCGTCTGGCCGTACAGTACTATCGCAAGCTCTGTAGTACGGCCAGACGCCCGATGCTTCCACAGAGACTGAATTTTTTTGGCCGCCGATGTAGCGATTTTGCTACATCTTTCGATCGCAATTATCTTTTCATCCAGGACACAAATTTCCAAAGTTAAGGTTCGTAGTCGTAGAGCAGCTCATACCTTTTCTAAAAAACGTTCTTTGGTTTCAATAATTTCATCCATCTGGCCACAAGACGAATTTCAGTCATCAGATTCCACAAATATCGTCCCCCATGCGATCCCCCATGCGATTTCAAAATGGCGGCCGCGCTGTAATGTATGCATTATGCGAGCGCGCTTGGGCAAGATAATGAATATGCATTATTTAGTTCATGACCTCGTGTTTGTATCGGTCATACTAAACAGCGTCAACACAGCGTCAACACACTCCAAAGCGTCAACACAGCGTCAACACAGCGTCAACACATCCAAAATGCATTAAAATTTACAAAAGCAGTATGTAACCCATACAGTATGGACAGAAACAAGATTTGTGCTTAAAATCAATAGGTTAAACGTCTGAAAATCGCGATTTTTAGTTCAAGAAACTTGGCTCTCCGTGCCGCTCCGAAATCGGCTGCCGAACACCCGCCATGTTGCCTCAGTGGCAGCGCGGACCATACCATTATTCTAAAGGGTGATAGCGTTGTACAATAAACCAACAGAGAGGGACGCGGCCGGGGTCGCCAGTGTTAAAAATATCTGCAAAGACCAAAACATAAACACAACTCACAAAATAATGATCTACCACTCCTCCGATCCTTAGTCCTCACACAGATCTGATATCCCTCTGTCTAGTCTGCAGCAAGGCGTCTCTGTTGTTTATGACAAGATAATGTCATTACCTACACACCCCTACTTGAAATGGTGTAGTCCAAGCTTTGTGCGAAGTCAAGATGGCGGACAACGGCCGTGCAAGTTAAGGTCATTTTTTTCGCGTGAAAATACGATATTTTTAACAACGAAATGGAAACTCAATCCAATGGAAATTCTCTTTTATTGTATGTTTCACAATTATATGCCCTTTTTGTCAATTCAGAATGTGTTTTGGATGTGTTGACGGTGTGTTGACGCTTCTGTCATGTGTTGACGCTGTGTTGACGCTGTGTTGACGCTGTTTAGTGCGACCCGTTTGTATGGCCAGCCGCGCTGAGTGTCCGACAAACGTCATAAACTATGATGCATATTCATTATCTTGCCCAAGCGCGCTCGCATAATGCATACATTACAGCGCGGCCGCCATTTTGAAATCGCATGGGGGATCGCATGGGGGACGATATTTGTGGAATCTGATGACTGAAATTCGTCTTGTGGCCAGATGGATGAAAATATTGAGACCAAAGAACGTTTTTTTCGAAAAGGTATGAGTTGCTCTACGACTACGAACCTTAACTTTGGAAATTCGTGTCCTGGATGAAAAGATAATCGCGATCGAAAGATGTAGCAAAATCGCTACATCGGCGGCCAAAAAAATTCAGTCTCTGTGGAAGCATCGGGCGTCTGGCCGTACTACAGAGCTTGCGATAGTACTGTACGGCCAGACGCAGTCGGGCTAGTAGGACCCTACCTGTGTGTATTTTCAATCAGGTACCCGGTTTCCGTACTATACCCATAAATGCACACCTCTAAATTTTAGCAGAAAGTATTTTACCTTTTTCTAAGGTTTCAAATTTGTTTTAATTTTACAGTGATGACTTGGTAGCTGTCATTGATGCATCTACTTCACTAACAGCTGATCTTTGGACCGTGCAGTAGCTCTCACTGTGACCATTCAAAATGGAAGCAATACAGACTGACAACAATGATCTTGCTGATGCAGTCAGGGAAATTGATGGTAATTATACGTGTTATAATGCCCCTTTCTTTTTATTTCTCACTCATTTTCAGATGTTACCTTGTCACTCAGTGCTGTAATTCAGTGACAAAAAGGAGAAACTTGCCAATTGAGTTTTACATGTGCCAGCAGCAATTGCGTACTGCGCTGGTCAAAAGTTGCACGCTAAGCGCGCCGTTTACAATTTGCTAAAACAGATGAGAACAATAAACTACCATCAACAAAAAAAGTTACAAGTTGATAAAAAGTGAGATTTATATTCAAGATTTATAACACCCCAGCCAACCCCGTTTGGAAAATCCTGGATCCGCCATTGTATTGATACGCTGTGTCTACTTCATCACAGTTCAAAACATCAAGCCAACCCAGATTACGATCTTCAACTCCCACCAAACCATTTTCTTAGTTCAGAGCTCGTATTTCGCTAGTTTAATAGCGATTGCAATGCGTGTATTGCGATATTGAATACTGCTATTCTGATAGGCTGTGTTTAGAATGGAGGTTACTTGCTTCAAAAATCGACCTATTTACCACTTTTATATTTACTTCTGTTGTATTTAATACCCAGGTCTAGTGACTCAGTTATGTCAGGAACATGATGATAGCAAGTGTGATCAGCTCACAGACCGGCTACTAGACATCTCACAGTCAGTATTAGGCCTGGATACCAGACTAGCACACAATCAGGCTGCTGAAATACAGGTAGGTAGTGAAGAAACAACCAAATTACCTTTTATGTGTATAGAAACTTTTTGTGCCATAATTAATTGTAGTACCTATTGACTAGTGATGTGGACACTATTTCATTAGTATGCAACCTGGCCAATTGAATAGGCCTATCACAGATGGCCTTGTTTCCCCAGATGACATAGTTCTCCAGGAAATGCAATTATCTGCACATAATGCCTATCAAATTTGTTTTATATATCAACATTGTCCATACTATCAGACACTGACAAGACTTGACTCAAGACAGTAACTTTTCATGAACTTGTCCTTATCAATGATCCCCATAAATCGTATACAACCCTAACCTTCCCAAATCCTCCAAAATCCTCTTTGCGAAATGGAGGATTTTGCAGGATTTGAGGCTATGGAAAAAAAGGTGTGGCTGATTTTGGAGGATGCACTGTGTCAAGCTCTTTGGCTGGACCTTTTGTTGTTTATGCTCAGTCGTGCACAAATTTAGGCCTACATGTAGATTATACTTTTAATCCTCTGCACTGCTCCAGGATGTCACTGTCTCAGTCTGCCTCAAAATATTGACAGTGATTGCTGGAGGATTTTTCAGGATTGAGGCAGTGGTCACCCTTCCAAGGACCACATTCAAGAAATAACGGAGGATTTTTGCAGGATTGAGGCTGTTAGCAATTTTTACATGGAGGCAGTTGAAGTATTTTGCAGGATTGAGGTTGCATCCTAGCAAAAATGCCTATGGAATTGGGGTTACGCTGATCAGGAGAATGAATTGATCTCTTTACTTTTATTTTGTTCAAACCCAGTTGCAGAATTGTGCTTTCTCACTATGGAATGTTGCAGTGGCAAGAAAAACTGGCGAATCATTGCATCAAGAACTCAACGCCAAAGGTAGGGGTGTACATCAGTAGCGTATATGCATCTTAGATACAACAGGGGTTTTCCTTAGCGGTCGCCCGCTCGCCAAATGCGAGTGAAAACAGCGGCGGGCGAGTCAAAACCCTCCTCTCAGTAGTCCGACGGGCGAGTCAAAAAACTAACGAAGTTTTCCCTACAGTATTTTTCAATCAATCAAAATAAAAAGTTAAGGGTGATACAACACATGAATACTTTTGCCACGCCGACCGAAATAAAAACATCGGTAGTTCGAATTCGTATCACTCCATGTATATTCGAATCAACGTGTATTTGAGGCGAATCAACGTGTATTTGCCATTGCACATTGTGCACACATGCAACCCACGTGATTTACTTCGTCTGCAGTCCACACGGTACGGACGTATGTACGTACGTTAACATCGTATTCGTATCATACAACGTGGTGAGAAGAAAACTTTCATGACAGTTTCACTCCCAAAACTTGTGCCCGAACGGATTCTTGGGATGATTTCTTGAACACTATCAAACGAATGTACCGAAAAGATGAGGACAATATGAGATTCGAGGGGCCTATTTTGAATGTAAAGACTAGTGAATGTAAAGTGGACCGTGCTCCGGAAAACGTTATGGATTGACGTGACCAGCGTAAGTTCGTGGGTCGCCCGCCCGCAGCGCTTCTTGGCTAATGATTGCACCATTCTTCGCTAGAAATGCATGGCGCGCGCGAGAGATGTTTGTTTTGTTTTTGAAAATACTGGCCTTCTCACTCATTTTCAAACAAGTTAAAACAGTTCAGTTACTAACTTGGTAAACTCCCATTAATACCACGACTGTGTGCAATGTTTTCTTGTTCCTCAAGATAACGCATTTTTAGTTCGTGTTTTATCAAAACATGTCTGAAATAGAACACCTAAAGCCTTAAGTTCGGAACGAAGCACACTGCATAAATTTTGATTATAACTTCTCCCCCTATTTGATTCCTGTTAATTAAAGCCCTGCTCTATGTTAAAGCATGGACGATTAAAGAAACATTGACATCACTTAAAAAGGAACTACATGCAATATTATGTACATGATTAAGATAATTGCCGATTGTATTCATATTGCATAATTTATTATCAAAAATGTTATCAAAAATGCTTATGGTGATTTGATTGAAAGTTACTATTAAAACATGTGGGCTAGTGAAAAAGGTTGCGGGCCAGTGAAAACTCTGGTTTACTGGCCCGGCCGGCCAGTAAAGGAAAAAGTTAAGGAAAACCCCTGTACAAGCCTGTCATCTTAGGATAACACTTTAGAGATTCTACCTTGCATAAGATTGTAACTGTCATGATATTTTGTTACTGTGAGCTAATGATAAGACTGAAACTACAGTCCTAGCCGAATCTTGCTGGACCCCCTGCCCCGGCCCCCCGGTCAATGTTGTCTCTCATTGCGTGGTCTGTGCTCCAGCTGGAGATAACAACATTGACCGGGGGAGAAGGGGAGTTGGGGACCGGGGGAGAAGGGGAGTTGGGGACCGGGGGAGAAGGGGAGTTGGGGACCGGGAGAGGTATGCTTGTTGTGACGTGTCCCAACCATTTTGGTTGGGATTGTAGCATTGTTGTTGAATGTCGAAATTGTAAAAAAAAAAATTGTCTCTGGACATTTCCATTTTAATGATATTTTTCTGTAGTAAGATTTCAAACTTTGTAAAATATCATTTGTAACTTGAGTAATAAGTAACCGAACTAACAAGTTTGGTTAGAGAACAGGTCATTTGAGTAGCTTGACTCAGGTAAAGGCAGATGAGTTAGTCATGAGAGCCAGGTTAATGGAATGCTCACTTCCCCTTGCATGTCAAAGGTCAACCGGTTGTGGAATAATGACTTTAGTTCTTGATGTTTTGCAATTTCTGAATCTTTCCCTCTGTCCGGTTGCCATATTTGTCAGCTTCTTGAGATTAACAATGCATGAGAGTAACGTGATTCCTTGCCTACCCCCGCTTTGGTGGCTGTTCAGGATGAGCCACAAGAATGACATGCAAGCTCAGTAATCTAAAGACATGGAGCTACCTTGAGCCGACACAAGTGAGCTAATCAAATGCACAATATTTGAAGTCGGGATTGCAGTACGTATTGAAATGAAACCAACTATTGACTGTACATGCACTTATTTCTTCCCTACAGTCAGACACATTGCCTGCAATTTGGCCTCCTCTATCCCATCTTCAAGGGAATCCTTTGTCATGCTCAAGAAGCAGATAACTGTAAGTTCATTCAATTCTAGCGTGTTTCACCCAAAAGGTTGTTTGTGACAGTTTATTTGTTTTGCATCTTTTGCCATAAACTGTATCTTATGCTTGCTGCATTTATTTCAGTGGTACTACTTAACCAAAGGGATGCTTAATCCTAACCGCCCTGAATCCTTCAAAACCCTCTTTGCCAAAGAGGATGAATTTGGAAGATTGAGGTTGAGGCAAAAGTGCATTACTGATTTCGCAAGATGCACTTTGTCAAGGTCTTTGGGCCGGATCTTGTGTTGTTTTTGCTCAGCCATGCATAAATAGGCCTGGATTATGTTAAGGAGAATACACGAGAAAGTGTGGATTCGTATAATTTAAGAATTCACGAGGCGCGAAGCGCCGAGTGAATTCGTAAATTAAGAATCCACACTTGCGAGTGTATTCTTCGACTTAAACCATTGCGTCAACAGAAGTATTGGAAAGAATGCTGCAACCTGACGGCACTTTTTTCTTCATATATCATCTCAATGAAGGCCATTTGTTGCAAAAATGATGATAAGACATGAATCTGGGACTGATAAATGTTTCCAAAATTGTTAGGAAATACTTGAAATGACTCTCCATAGACGTTGTACACAAGCGCGGAAGTGGCGTCAGGTTGCAACATTGTTTCCTGACGTGTTTAGCATGTGTATCGACACACAGGCTCCTTACGTCAAAATGGATAGTTCAGACGACGATTTCTTTCTGACTAAAAGTCGATTTTGCAGTGACGGCGGAAAATCTGACAGTGCAGATGCATTAGTAATTCGGAAAGCAAATTTTCACGCAGACGGTCCTATTCATGCTCATTATGGAGAACAATTGTCCGACATGTTCAAAGTGTGGATTCGTAATTCCGAATCCACACTTTACTAAAGATTCGTCGTTCCGAATCCACACTTAAGAGATTCGTAGATCCGAATCCACACTTTTAACAATAGTGTGACGTCATAGCAGTGTTGGAGCAAAGGCTTTGACCCTCAAGGCCAAGGCTTTGACCTCAAGGCCAAGGCCAAGGCTTTGACCCTCAAGCCTCGAGGCCAAGGCCAAGGCTTAACCCTCAAGGCCAAAGCCAAGGCCCTGTTTTATGAAATGACCACTGATATAGAACTAATTATAGTCACATGAGTGACACATCATCACGCAAGGGCAGATCCAGAACACAATTTTGGGGGGCAAAGAAATTTTGGTCCCCCCCCAAAAAAAAAAGTGGGTCAAAAATTACGGCTTGGGCTTCGGGGCCCGCTTAAGGGCCCCGAAAAATATTCGAGATGCTCTGTGGTGCGATTTGAGGCAATTTCTGACCATTTTAACCAATGTTTTTTGAGGAAAAGATGGTGGTGTACTCATTGCCTGCCTTTATTACGACGTCACATTAAAAAAAATGGTTTCTTTTTTTTTGGGGGGGGGGGCATGGCCCCTTTTGGCCCCCCTGGATCCGCCCTTATCATCACGAATTGCTCTTTACGAAGAACAACATTTCTTTAATTGCAGTCAACATGCTCACATAGGCCTACACCGTTTTATGACTGCACTGTATCTATTAAAGTATAAGTTCAGGTCTTCAATATGGTTTAACTAAACAAAATAATGATTTACTTCTATATTGACACACAATTCTCCCAAGTGGACCAAAAGGGGGAATCCAAGAAACTGATTTGGGAAATTTTTATTTGCTGGCCCAACATGGTCAGAAATATCAGCATTATCTAACACAAATACATGCAAATCTTTAGCACTTATCAGGGAGACATATACAACCAATCAGATCTATTCCATAGTTATATGCAATTAAAGTGATCATCTCATTAGCCCCACAAGTGTACGGAATATTTTTGCAGCAAATCTACTACAATGGTAACAAAATGTGATGCTACAAAAGTGGAAGTGTGCCCGACACACAAATCTATAGGGTGCTTCCCTCCTCCATGGTAATACGATTAAAATGGTAACAACAAAATTTCGAACAGATTTATCTGGAAAATGCAAAAATCTATGGGCCTTGAAGAGCCTTGACTCAAAATTGCAAGGCCCTTAACCCTCAAGGCCCTTAACCCTCAAGGATTTTGCAGGATTCAGGCAGTGGTCACCCCTCAATGGACCATATTCAAGAAATAATGGAGGAATTTGCAGGATTGAGGCTATATGCTATTTTTCCACGAGGCCAATTGGAGGATTTTGCAGGATTGAGGCTACATCCTAGCAAAAAGACCTAGGGAGTTGGGGTTAAAGAACTCATTTTTGCTTGATTTTTTATTTACTTTTGTAGATGGCAGGCAGAACTGGGCGTGCATGGCTTGGTGAGTTGTAACACTTCCCTACCATTCACAAATATTGAAATCGGCGTTGATGTTTCCTTGTGTAACATGCATATTAGTCTTGTCAGTAATATCTTACTATATTTCATTCAATTGTCAAATCTTTTTTCCTTGTTTACCAGCAATTATATATTGTTGCCACATTGAGAACAAGTTCAAAACTTAAAAAATATGGACAATTGTGTGATTCAAATGTCTGATTGTGTTCTAGATTGCCAGAAACCTACCATGGCTGACCAGTCCTTGAGCTTAGCATTGGATGTAAGTAACCGAATTGAAGTCTTAAACAAAATGTGATGGATGTGGCAGTATACAAATAATGACTGTTTATGAGTGCAGTGATTACAATAATTTCATGAGGTGACAGATGGAATGTTCCATTCGATGAGGCGAAGCCGAGTAGAATGGAATGTTCCATCTGTCACCGAATTGAATTGTTCTTTCCATGGCACGAATTAGAAACATTATTTTTTTGTTTATGCAATGCCTGATTAAATCCTTGTCATCTGATTGGTAACTTGTAAACTCGCCCTATGAATGTTCAGCATCAGAGCCATCGGAGCTGTGTTATAACCCAACCAATGGGTGACCGTGCAATGGAAGTTCTAGTTACCTTGGAATGGAACTTTTATTGCGGTGCGGCTGCGCTGTGCGTTGGGATGAATAATTCAATGACACGTGATCAAGGACCCACCAATCAGATGACAGGGATTTATTCAGGCATTGTATAATTTAGAAAAATAAAATGGTTTTAGTGGAAGTGAAAATGACTGGTTCCAGGGCGTTGGGTGATTTGACACAAAGCAGCGTCACAATCAGCTAAGACCGACGGACCAGTAATTTTGCTCTACTTGCCTGAAACAAACGTCGTTGCATTTGGTTATCACACCTCATACACGTTTAGCTTCATTATCAAAAATTGACAGTCCTGTTAAAAATCCCTCCCACATAAAGTTTTATAGTTAGTGTGGTACCAACAAAAACCTGACTTTTGTTGACGTCATGAAAGTCACTAGCTTTTCACTTGAAGTACAGAATGACCCTGATGGTGTCATCGGTGATAGTTAAAGTTGAGTGCAATTTGTGTCACAGTACATTGTGTCCCAAAATACCCGCAACTTTCTTTGGCAAGCCTCTAGCGTTGGCGCAGAAACATGCACCGCCATTATTTTTATACCATTTTAAAGCTTGGAATCTTAACTTTACCTCTGGCGAGTTTTGGTTTGATATTTAAAGAGTTTAGAAATTATTCGTGTTCAAATAAAGGCATGTCGAAAACAAACTCAACCGATTACAAGAGAAACGATGATGCAGTATACATCATCAGATGCAAACTCGAGGCAAGCTCTTGAAATAACAAAAAACACAGTTGATTTTTACGTTGAAGTTGAAACAAAGAACAAGATTGTGTATTTAAGGTGTAGTCTACGTGGATCGAAAAAAAAGGAAACACAGAAAGTAAAAGGCAACGAGATCGTCACATCATGAACATGATGAAGCAATTCCACATAAAATGCGCATGATTGATTTTCCTTGAAATCGGTTGAGTTTGTTTTTGATATGCCTATATTTAAACACAAATAATTTTAAAACCCTTTTGAATATAAAACCAATACTTACCAGGGATAAACTTCCAAGCTTCCAAGATAAGATTCCAAGCTTTAAAATGATATTAAAATACTGGCGGTACGTGTTTCCGCGGCGACGCTAGAGCCTCGCAAAAAAGTGTTGCAGGTATATTGGAATGTGCTGTAGACTTTTATTGTTCCAAATTAACTGTTTTTTGTTCTTTTTTATGTTAATTTTTTTTTTTAACTAATGTTCAGGGATTGGAGAAAATGAAAACAATGTTGGAATCTTCTCCTGGTGGTTCATCAGATGAATGGCATGAAGCCCAGCAACATCAGTGCATAGAAGTAGAAAGAGAAGCATTCAAGATATATGCCACTAAGGGCGAGTCGGTGAGTAGTGCTGTGCATCAGGTCGGGTTGACCAGGCCAAACCGACCTGAAACATTATAAATATATATTATAACTGAAACCGATCTGAACTGCCTAAAACCGACCCGAACTGACCCGAAACTGAGCCAACCCGAAAAAAACTAAATATTTTGCTTGGGCAACTGTGACTGCTTTTTTTGCCTGAACTTCCCTGCGTCATCTCTCAGTACCTGAATCATACCGTACGGCACTCACAATGTGACCTTCTGGTGGGCCTACATGTTATACACCGTGTGTGATAGACCGCAAATCATTTTGGTCGTACGGGGGCTATAAATGGGAATAAAGTTATAGTTTGATGTCAAATTCTGTTGAGCATTATGGTTCCTCCATCCATGTGTTTGCCATGTTAAAATACTCAAATATATCAAGTTATCACTATTCCATTGTAGACACCTCTGAACTTATCCCAAAAATCCATGTTTTTTGGGTTTTTTTTTGGGTAGTTGGTTATGCAGGATGAGCATGAAGTTGGACTTCACTGGATTCAGAAAGCAAAAGCACTCCTTCCACAGATGCCAAAAGAGGTATTCAGCCCAGCCTATATTTTGTTTTAAATTTGTATTTTTAGTTTTGCCCTTCATTAAAGGGCGCATGAAGTGTAATGTTTTTTAATGCAATCCTTGGGAATGCACCTTTGTGTCCCATTTAACCTCATTTTCAATTTTCATGAGTTTTGGTGCCTTTTTGGTTTTTATGCTATTGGGAATTTCCATTTTCACGAGCAAAAGTGTTATATTGTTTCAGGAAGAAACCTCTATGTTACCACTATTTCAGCACCAAAAGTTGCCAAAACTTTGGACATTTCGCTGTCGTAAATTTTTTTTTTTAAGACCCAAACTGAACAGTGTCTTCCTGATATGACGTCACAGCAATAGGGCTCTCAATTGTCCGGAAAGTTAAATGATTAAAGAAGTGCACTTCTCAATAAAATTAACCAAAACGGGATGTCAAATATGTTTCATATATTTAAGATGAGTAGAAGGTTGCACAAAATATGCTTCTAAGAAAAAGTCACTTCATGGACCCTTTAACTTTTAACAGTTTGTGAGGCCAAATGCTCACTAAAGTTGGAATTGAACCCACTAGCTCCTGTCTACTGGTGCAGATGTCTTACCACTGCACTATCAAGGTTCCTAGGAGTGGTTAGTTCATTTGAATCTGATAAACATATACCATTCTCATATGAGATTTGGAGTCCTGTGAAATGTAATCCCTCTACCATATATGGACTGCAAATTTAACACGTGACCTTTCACTGTCTCAGATATATTCACTTAAGCGCGCACAATACAACTAAGGAGTCCGTATTTTCATGGAGTCCAAATTTCAAACTACACAACAACTAAAGTGACTTTTCCGGGTGCATACCTATGTTCCCCAATACCGATGTTACTTAATGCCGATGTTCCCCGAAATCCCTACCATATAACCCTAACCCTAACCCCAAGCCTAACCCTAACCCTAATGCTAAGGATTTCGGGGAACGTAGGTATTGGGGAACATAGGTATTGGGGAACATCAGGTAGACCCCACTTTTCCAGGGTTCGACCGGTCTACTGGAATAGACTCTTAACTAGCCTGCCAGTGGCGGTTCTACGGGGGGCTAGGGGCTAAAGCCCCCCCCCCCCCCCAAAAAAAATTTCCATAAAAAAAACAAAGTAAGAACGTGACGTACATGCGAACGGTCTCCCCATAAAAAAATAGTTGTGAGAAGGGTGCATTTGTACACTACCCATTGAAAATATGGCACAAGCCCCCCCCCCCCCCCCCCCCCCCCACCCAACCCAACCTATTTATATTCGGGGGCCTAAGTGTCCGGAAAAAAAATAACTGGTCTACATTTCAGCACGTAGCCCCCCCCCCCCCCCAAATATTAGCTTTAGCCTGTAGCCCGCGGGTATTTTCACTAGTCCGCATTTTTTCTTTTATAGAGTGTCTCATAAACAACAATGTGCATACATGTAAAACGTGTATCCTGAGGCAATCTTGTCAGTGCTTTTTATTAACAGATCAAATAATTTAACTTTAAACAAAATTGGACACAAATTGATACAGGTTTACTTTCTGAATTTAAAGACTATTCCTTTCTGTCCTTTCTGGCTCACCAGCCGGGCTACTTAAGGAATAGTTTGACTAGCCCGCCACTGTTTTGACTAGCATTTGGCTAGCGGGCTATACCGCTAAAGTCAAACCCTAAGTGGCATTTCATGTTTTTTCTATTCACAGATGCTCAGGTTCATTTCAAAAACAGCATTCCATTTTCCTGAGTTTTCATATCTTGTTTTCAGTCTTCCTATCTAGCAATGCTGTGCTACAACTTTGGCTGCGACACTCTGGACAAGAAATACTACAAAGCCACTATCGCATGGCTCAGGTAACCAGGCTTTGCAACACATATAAAACAACACATTGATGGTGGACAGTGAGAGTGCAGACAATAATGTTTTTCATGAAATTGTGCAGTTACTGATTTATGAGGATTTCTTGATTGTTTCCTTTTTGGTCTTTCCCCGGGCATTACTTGACAATAGTGTTACTTATTTACTATTACATGTTTCTTAACCTAGAGAGAGTCTTGAGCTGGGTAAGGGGGAGCATCCTATTGAACCAGAATTTCAGGTGAGCTTTGCCCTACATTTTCCGTTTTTTATCTTTGGTGCAACTCTCCCATACATGCACACGGCCTTACCCCGAAAGCCACCCTAAGGTTGAGTCTGCGACGACAGATCAGTTGGCGACTGACTTTTCAGGATCAAATTGCGCCGGAGCTATGACTGTCGGCAACATATGAGTTGTCATTTTACGCGACCTGAGTATAACTGTGATGATATACAGACAATCACAATCACGTGGCGCTAATAAAAAAAATCCACAGTCGCAAGAGCAGAAAAATTTCTGTGCTGCGACGGAACGTGTTCCCGTCAGACAGGAATCAATCGCAGTCGAGCTGTGTGAAGTTATGACATTGTTTGTGCTTACGGATCATCAAATTTTATTATAAATCGTCGTGTCGTGGGTGACATGATCATGGTTGCAATTAGTTTGTGTTGAGATGCCGCTTGTTCCATGATAATCACACAATTTCTCAGTTTTGCAACCTGAGCATGACTTTTGTGCTTGATGCCGATATGGTTCCATCGCGACACAATCAAATCGCAGGTCGACTTTAGAGGCAGGCTTCAAGGTATCTGCTGTGCTTTTATTATTAAAGGGTCCAGGTTTTACTTTGGTACAAGAATTTAATAAAGTGACACTCTGGCTGGCTGTTGGTAAAAGCACTTTAAAATCCCTCTGGTATCTTTGATGCAAAAATGGAACATGTCATGTTCAAAGGAAATACACAATCCATGCACCCTGTCGCAGGAATTGTTTGGTAAGGCCCAAAAAAAGTCTCCGGTTTCTGGTATGCTCGCGCGTCGCTGTAGCCATGCGCATCGGCAAAATTACAAAAAGAAATTTTTTAATGTAAGATGATGTCTCAAAACCGCCAAACTCACTGGTTTGACTGGAATCCTGCTGCTGCACAATTTTAACATGTTTTTAGCTGGGGTTAAGATCGAGTATAAGCTTTATGTGGCCTCTCTGGGCTCCAATACATTTTGCACTAAATTTAGTAGGGCACCATTTGCAGTCATCAGCCGACATTTGAAGGAAAACAATTTTAAAAAAAGGAAAAAAGGCTGCGTCGCCGCACCACTTTTGGGGCAAGCTCTATACCAGAAACCGGAGATTTTTTTTTTGGCCTAATGGATATACGATTGAAAGATAACAGAGTGAAGCAAGCTGGTTTTACTCAGGCTGGCAATTTTCAAAGCTGAGATCACTGCAATATTAAGTTCTTTTCTTATTTGTTTGTTTTCAGGCCAGGACCCTGCGTTTGCTAGCTAGTACCTACCTAGACTGGGACCCGGAGCAGTATAGTCAGAAAGCTCTGAATGCAGTCGGCTTGGCTAATGCTGTGAGTAATGAGTCATTTAAACAACAAAGTTTTCTTGTACATTGGGAGATGCATACTGTGTGTACAGTGCTAATTAGCCTAAATAGATTATTGAAATTACATCTTCCAATGTTTTCAATTCCATCATACAAGATGTTCACACACTTTATCTGTACATTGTAGCATAAGAGGAGTTTTTCAAGGGAATGAATGAAAGACCTTTCTTACAGGACAAATATAATAAGCCTTATTCACGAGTCGGCCATATTAAATTGAAAGCGAGGTAAAATGTTCATTTTTTGGAACTTGCAAAAAGAAATGAAAGCAATGAAATAAACTTAATTACAAATTAATACCAGTCTACTCTGATGAATAATTTGAATTTTGTGATTAATGAAACGCCAACGTTTTAAGCCAAATTAAAAAAAAAATGGGGGCTTGGAGGTTAAAAAAACCCAGCTCTGTCAAAAAGTAATTGTTTTCATAGAAATTCTTAATGCGAAACCCCCCGCCCCTGCTCTGACACCCCCCCCCCCAAAAAAAAATATACTGGTATAATGTCCGCCTGTGCACAAAATATGGACAGAGCCAGCTTTGTTATTAGGGGGTATTTGTACACTTTTCTGTAATATATGTTAATAATCGTCGGATTTGAACAGCGCCCCATTGAAAGTATGGTACGAGCCACCCCCCCCCCCCAAAAAAAAACCTTTTTGATTTTATGGAGGCCAAGTGTCTGGAGAAAAAAACCTGTCTTTATTTCAGATTTTTTTGCTGATGAACCCCCCCCCCCCCGCAAGAATTCCTGGATCCGCCCCTGCACAGAGTCTAAAATGTTTTTCCACTTCCCCTGCCATGCATTTGTATACAGGCTAGTAAAAAAAAACCAGTCAGATCACATTCAGGTAAACACTATGACTAGTCAAATTCCATCAACAGACAAAAGAGGTAACTGGTAGGTACAGCTGGCATATCAATCACTTCCAGTCAAAGCATGGCTATATCAATATAACAAGGGAATTCGTAACTGTTAAAAAGAGTCACTTGATTGGTTGTGACTGGTGTGATGGCGTAGCTGAATTTGTCAGCCAGAGAGTGTTGTTTATGGCCCTCTCACACCAATCCAAGACCAGTGCGAGGTCACTTCGGAAATGCAATTTTTTTCAACAGTATCCGTGGTCTCCGTTTTTTTTGTCCGTTTTTTTATGCCAGCATGTTTTTACTTCGTGGTACCCGTTTTTACTTCGTGAGTAATCCATGGCCACCTCGGAAACACCACGGGACCAACCCGTGCTCATGTCCGTTCCGTGGAATTCACGGACTGCACGCCGGCGACATCTCGTGGCCATCCCGATTGCATCCCGTGATGACTTTGGCGCCAGCTCGAGACTACAACGTGGTGTCAGTGGTGACTACGGCGCCAGCTCGAGAGTACTACGTGTAGTCTGTGAGCACTTTGTGGCCAACACGTGGACACTTCGTGGACTCCTGAGCTCAGTCTGACGTACCATCGAGTACTGTGTAATGAAAACGGCCGTAAAACAGGCCAACAATCAATCCGGGGCCATCCCTTAAAATCCAATGTAACTTCAACCCAACCTCGAGAACACTACGAGAGTACTTCGAATAAGCCGTATTGAACACGTTTTCAATTCGGCAATAAATTTCCGAAGTGCACACGTTTCAGTTTTTCAACATATCCACAAACTTTTTGGGTGATCCGTGGAGCATCCGTGAGAATTGGCCCATGGAAGGAATCGACACGTTTTTAATTCGTGGTTAGTTCATGGCAACCCGTGAGATCCGATTCCATTTCGTGGTTACTTCGATTTTTGAACTTTTGCGCCCACGGACACCTCGAAGTGGCCACGAAATGGCTTCACGTATTGGTGTGAGAGGGGTCTTAAAGGGAAAGTGAATGTAAAAAGGTTGCATTTGATGGGAATTACATGTACTGGGAGTGAAAGCTCTATCTTTCTCAATCGAGTTGGTTAAGTCAAAGATAGTGTTTATTTTTTTCCTTTAGGAGCATAGCCACCCATCAGGTCTCCATCTCAAGATAAAGATTCTTCTTCGTACCAACGGCAGTGACGTCAGGATTAGAGGAGGTAAATTCTGAATACAACATTTAATGGCTGCTTACAAGCTCGTGAAATTTTTTGTTGATTGTCGAAGGACATCTGTGTCAGTATTGAATTGTAGCTTTAGGCTTTACAAAAACCCTAAAAGGGTAAATATGACATAACATTATTTAAAAAGCTCCCTTTTTTTTTTAGAACTCACCGAGTCCATTTGTCTATAAAATGGTGTCTGCAATAGTGTTGTAGTTGAGTACTGAGTACTGCCGAGTACTTAGGTTACCGAGTAGGAATACGAGTACTTCCTAGTACAAGTACAGGTCTCCGAGTACTTGTACTTCCGAGTACGAGTAAGAGTACGAGTACTTGTATTCCAAGTATGAGTACGCATACTTCTATTTCCGAACATGGCCATACGGCAAATGTTTCATTTTGCGTAATTGGCCCAGGCCCAGTTGGACCGATATACAGACCCACTCACGGATAGCTGTTGATGTGTTTGTCTGGAGGTGCAGAGAGAAAAGTCAGGAAATTTTGATTTCTCTGCAATCCAATCAACTATTTCCAACTGAAAGTATCTATAATAAGATAAGGCTGTGGTAAGTCAAGCTATACCTATTTTGACATGTCGAGTATGAGTACTTTGCTGCCCGAGTACGAGTACTGTCATTTCGAGTACAAGTACTTTGACATTTGAATACGAGTACAAGTTTGTAAAAAAAAGTACTCGAGTAGTACTGGAGTACAAGTACCGAGTACGAACACTACAACTCTGGTCTGCAAACAAACGAATCAGCAAGGAGTTCTAGTTCAGTTGTTTTGGCTTTAGTGCCGTGTGTGTGTCATGACAGCAATCAGTTATAGGAAGCCCAAGTCCTATAACATCAAGTATCCTGAAGGAACCAAGACAATTCCTGAGGAAAATATATTTAAATGCAAAACATTGAGAGTGTGTCGATGTACCACTCTACTATTAAGACAACAGTTCATGAAATCCTTCCTCAAAACAACAAACTACATTTCAAACTCTTGTGTCATGGAATATTTTGCATTGAGAAAATTTAACTTGTACTACTGTGTTTTTCCCCACACCACTGTAAATTTATAACACTGTAAACTCTGTGCTGTCTGAAATCTAAGCTTAATCAGTTTGGATTGTAGGCCCCATGGATTTATTCCGATTTTGATGCGCCCCCTTGCGCCCGCGGGTGCACGCTGGTGCATGCATACGCATGCGAGCAACTCCGTGCCGCATGGGTCTGCCCACAATTGCACGGGCCCTAGCGTTCCTTTGAGTGTACGCGCGGGCAATTGCGTGGCATTGTGTGCCGATACGGGCTAGTGTGCACAGGCATGACTATACTTATACCTGGATTAACGCTGACAAAACAAATTGGGTAGTCCAAGACGATGGCTATTGTGCATTTCTGGTTTTTTTTTTTTTGGTGATGGTGTACCGCCTGGCAATGAGTTCGTTTGCGTGCCACCGTGTGCAAGTCAGTGCCAATGCGGGCAGATACGTGCCGATGTGGGGCAGTGGGTTCCAAATCTCCTTTGTTGGAGTTTTCCCGCATGCGCACGCGTGCGCCCGAGGGCGCATGCAAATCGGAATTAATCCAAGGGACCTTAACCTGTGACGTCTTGCTTACTACTGCAGATGTCTAAACCATTTGACCACCGAGCTTGCCATGGTCGGCTGGCCTGTTTCAATTTGCACTAGTTGATAGGAGGGTGTGGGTTCGAGACCCACTCAAACAAGCTGATGAGTTTATAGTCGGTGAAGAATAAAACCCAGTATTAGTATTGGGCGTTTCAAATTTAAATTTTTGTTTTGTTTGATTCCGGAGCCATATTTGATAATTACATTGATTTGTTTCAGCTTTGGATGATTTGATAGGCCATGCACACCTGAGTGTCAACCTGGCAGTCCACACAATCAGGATGCTAGCTGAACATGACAAGTAAATTGCAACAAATATGATCTTAGTTTGAGGAATTTTAAATAAAGAACAAAACAAATGTTATTAATAGCTGGTTCCATAATATGTTAAGGTGTTGAAAATGGTGAAGAATTCCAGATCAGTTTTGAATAGGACTATTCCCTCCTCCTTCACCCAAATTCCAAATGATTTTGTTGGTGAATATTTTTGAAGGGTTAATATATGAAACTCAAATTTTGCATTGACGTTGTCAACCATTCTTTGACGTGTGTGTATATAGGCATACTTGCTTGCTGAATTATCAGAGTTTCTGTACAATGTTGTATTTACTTGTTGCTACGAGATCTTAACTCCTAATGGACGTTTTTGTGTCTTTATTAGGCTGGACATCTGTCTGAATTCCTGCCAAAAAATGGAGCATCGATTCTCGTCAGATACAGACATTGGTAAACTGTATATTCAGCATCTTGAGCTGTTGCTTAGCAACAAGATGACATCAGAGGCAAAGGCACTTTTAGAGGAATGCATCAGAGGTGAGGGTCAAAGGGAGAAGATGTAGAAAGGCACCAGCCCCAAGCCACCCCTACCTCCACCCCATCCCCATACCAACCCCACCCCAACCCCACCCTAACCCCACCCTACCCCTACCACACCCCTACGCCACTTATTCTCAAATTTGTATCCTTGTTGAGACATTTCTTTGTTCTCGTGTAGTAAAGTGTTCAATTTTGAAAGTGAAGTTTCAAAATGCTCTTATTTTAACCAGAATTAGTTTCCTTGGCTGAAATTTGGAATTAATATCCCTTTTCTAAAACTCTTCCATTTGCGACAGATCAACCCACCTTGGAAATTCCTAGTTTTTGAGTAAAACCCATATATCTATTTCGTGAAAACCTTGTGGAGACCTATTCATCTATAGAAATTGCCCTGTGAAGACCTTTACAATGTTTTGTTCCCTATTGTGTGTGTGTCTCCACAAGGCTACGAATTTGTGGTCACTCCCCTACCCACTCGCTCACAATCCCTACACACTCCCTACACACTCCCCCACCTTCCTCCCCCTAATCCCCACCCCAACCCCTCCAGTAGGGCTATCATACTGACCCAAGTGACCCGGCCTACATCCGGGTACTGGAGAGTCAGCATCGCCATTGTAGTAGGCAAAGATTGTATAGTTCCATGTGTATGTGTAGTAGGAAAGCCTTCAAAGCTGTGATGGATGGCAAAAAACTGAGAAATATGTAGAGGCAACACCCAGTGCTGGGTCAGCACGGTTATGACAACCGTACACAGCACAGGTTACCATTATGCCATTGAATACAGAATTCGCAGTTATTTTACATGAAAAATATGCCCTACTGGCCTCAGCCTGTCTAGTTTACAACACATGACGTGGTTTGCTAACCAAATGCTTGCCTACTGCAATGGTGTCCAATCACGGGCAAACTGGATGGTCACGTGGTATTTGACGTATCATGCAATACAGTCTTGGCCCTAACCCCCTAGGGGGTGTGCAAAATCATATTAAAATTTGAGGATTCAGGACTGTTAGGGATAAAGTCGAATCTATATTCTAACTCTGCATGCAAATAACGAATTTGATTTTGGGATAAATACAGGAGAAAAATGTACCCAAATCTAGCAGACAATTGTAACTAATCTGAACAATTTTTTTGATTGAAATGAAAAAATGGATATGCTGTTTACACCAAAGTTGGAGCATAACAGCATTTTATATTTCATGCAGATTTTGTCTCAAATTTGGCTGCACCATTAGCATAACTGGAGTCCCCTTTGCAGGGGGAACTTGGTTTCTTCTTTTTCCAGATGGGGCACAAAATGTGTTTTGCCGCCTTCTCGGTGATCTGAGTGGGGGCAGGGGGATGGAGGGGGACACATACCTCGAGCGGGGCAGCTGGTGCTGTGCACTCCTATCCCAGTTTATCCTCTCTATCTCAGTTTCGGGGGAATCTTTTTGCTTTGTTTTGTTAATTTTTGAGCCCCCATAATTCACAGATATGTTTGAGCAAATTAACAGAAATAGGAAACTGACTGTAGTATGCAGGTTTTGGATCCCACGCCAGTCAACACAGATTCTGTTTATTTCTAGGTCATTCGTCTGTCTTTGACATTGATGTCAACACTCAGAGACATCTCCACACTGTTCTATGGGACAAAGCAGCAAGTGATTATGATGTGAGTAGCTCAAAATTAACTTCATCAATTTTACGACTATTAAAAATTTTAAGTGTTTACGTTGTAAAGAGCGGATAAGCAGAAATTGCTAGAAAACTATTGCTTATACTTTGGGTGTGATCCCTGGCTACATGGCATAATTGGTTTATGGTTTCTGACTTTTGCTTAACACATAACATTTCCTGCATAGAAGCATCATTAGATGGGGCCTCATGTCATTACTTCTCATTTGGCAGGTTGGTGACAATGCTGAAGCATTAGCCTGGTACAGCTACTCACTGACGCTCTTGAAGCAAGCTGACTCCAACCATGAAAGCCTTGCCAAACTACAGAGAAACAGAGCCTCCTGCTTCCTCAATCTGCAGCAACCTGATCAGGTACATTGGGACCAAATTATTTTTACTAAAATTTTGAAGAATTATCACTCATCAACATTTACTTTGTTGCTATATGAACCTTCCAGAAATCCACTGGTGTTCCGCAAACCAATGGAATATTCTTTGTGCTTAAACTTTGAAGGGACAGTAAGGTAATAGCACTGTCGTCTGTGCTGTTTGCCTTCCTAAACCCCGTCATATCCTACGAAAGGATCTTGGAAAGTGAGGGTTATTCATTTGATATTTGAATTGGTCTGGATCCTTGTATCTCCAGGCATTGGAAGCAGTGAAAGAAGCTGAGAAGCTAGATCCCATTAGCCCCTTCACACAATACATCCTGTACAAGGTGGCACTATGGAAAGCAGACGGAGATGGAGGTAAGTCATCCTCAATTTACAAGTTAAACAAGGCGCACATTTGATAACCCTAGGAGCAGTGTGTCCGCATCCGATTTCATGAAACTCATCGTAACTTGTGATGCATTGTTGCACTGTGACGCTATCCCTACGATGTTTCGCAGCTGCGACGTATCCTGCGATTCATTTCACAAAACACGTCGTTAGTGCGACGCATCATTGGTGTATTTATAGCACAACACGGTGACTGGTATATGTATTTAGTCAGCGAAAGGTTTTCAAATGTAAAACATTTTTAAAATGGCTACTTTGAAATTTCAGCTGCAATATTCCAGGCTAATTCATAATTACTTCAATGCATTTTCCATTTACAACTTTTCACAACCATTTACACACATTGTCTCAGTATTATAGTCTCGTTTATGTAATTATGGTATGTTCCAGCCATGCACAGCATATGCACATGCAAGTGCACGCCTGTTAGGCCATCAGCCTGGGGGTTTGGTGGGTATCAAATGAGGGGAATAATGCTCATTGTGATTTTTGGCAAGGTATGCACCCCTGTAGTTGGAAAATATGTGAAAGCATTGCAGTGGTGGCAGTATTTTGGGTGCTATCACTTTAAAAACAAATGGCGGCCAAAACATGCTTGGTACCACATTTAATTAATCCGGTAACAAACATATTGGCGCCATTTTGAAAAAAAAAAATTAAAAGTGATAACACCAAAAAACTGCCACCCTGCAAAGCTATCACACATTTTCTAACTCTAGATGGGCATACCTTGCCAGAAATTGCTATGAGCATAGCATTAATACCAGTGGCTCAATTTTTGGACCAAAGCTGATAGCCTACGTTGGAAATTGATCACTACCGTAATTGGTCCAAACACAGTGGGTCAGGGCTTAATGGATCGGTCCATTTGCGACCAATTTCAAGGCTCTGCTTCCCATGGGTTCCGTGCACAAGTACCCCCTCAACGGTAAGGGGGAGACCACTTGGAGAATGCCTGACGCTGACGCGAAGACGCCTGACACTCACTCAAAGAGGCCATGGGTTTGTGCACATTCAGAATGAAATTAGCTGTGCGTACTTTGAGCTATACGCGCCTATTCGACCTATTCGGGGTCCACTTTTGCGACCCCAAAAAGTCCAGCTGTTTGGGTGCTTTTTGTGATTTCATCTGTAAAGTGTTCGCCTTTTGCGGACGTTTAAGAAACCACATTTTGTGCATGAATGATTGGTCATCGCACGCTTTTCGCGAGCATGTGCACGGTGCTGTAAGACACACACAACGTGTATATTGTACATTGACTGAGAACGACAGAAAAAATATATATTCGTACTCCGCTGTGATCGATGTAAACAACCAGGTTTTTTACAGTAGGTTGGTTTCTTTTCAACCAGATGTTTGAAATAGGATAAGTAAAAATCCAAAACATGAAATTTTCGTGGATTTCAGGACCTATAGTGCCCCTTTAACAGAGCCATGAAATAGGGTCTAGATAAGTCTTTACATTGTCATGTTATTATATGAATCCATGCCAGCTCTCAACCACTCATTTCAACTTGAACAGAATCATTGTTCTGTATTTGACAGCTACCCAAGCTATTCAGAGACTGAGTGATTGCAGTAGGAAGCTAAGCAGGATGATGGGAGTGATTACAAGGAGACTTTCCTCGATCTAATCTGCTTATATGCTCATTGTTTTCTATTTGACAGCTACCCAAGCTATTCAGAGACTGAGTGATTGCAGTAAGGAAGCTAAGCAAGATGACGGGAGTGATTACAAGGAGACTGTCCTCAGTCTCATCTGCTTAGCGGCTCAGATGGCATTGGAGGTCAGTTGCATGGTGCTACAAGGAGGAAGGGGGGGAGGGGGGGTGCAGGACAGCAGTTGACACTAGATGGGGATGATCATTTATCAGAATCTTGTATGAATATCAAGGCCGCATCATATAAAAACCTATAAATTCCTACATTTTGGCACTTTGATAAGCTTTAAAAACCTAAATTTTGATTTTCCAAACGTATTTAAAAACCTAAATTGATAAAAAGGGGCATTGTGAGACCTGACGCCATTGTAAATTAGAACTTTTGAGAGCATGCTGACAATAGACGTAGCCCAAACTCTGGAAGCCCGTTTCAGATATGGCCTTACACACTTATAACCCCCCCCCCTGGATTTACAACTATCCAGATGTCCATAGTGTATAAGCAGGAAAACAAATTTTACTTCCAGTAACATTTAGTAACCTTAACACTCATAACAATCCCATGAAACAAGTGCAAGATTCTCTTCCAGATGAAAACTGTTGCAAATTATATTTTGAATTTAATCACTTTTTCTGCCTTAGAAAGACAACCGTACTATCGCTGTGAAAGCTTTGGAGAAACTGGTGCAGCACTCGGAGGATCAGCAACAGATTCTGACATCTCTCAGGTTGGTTTGATGAGGTCATCAGTCAGGTCGTCCACAGGGTCAGAACATAGAGAAAGGATGCAGAAGGAGTTTGAGCTTACAAAGTGAAATCAGCTAATTCTAATTTTAACACCTCACCCGCAGATTCTGTGTCTTGATTGGCTGAGAGCGAGTCACATGACACTTTCTATTTTTGCTATCTTTTTTTGTGCACGGCCAAAATTACTACACCCGTAGCAACTAAAGTACTTTACCATTAGCAACCAAAGTACTATTTCCACGGCGCAGTATTTGTGTGCAAAATAATGCATGCTGGTGTGCGCGTAGCGCGTTCCAAAGAGAGCGCGCCACTGAGTTGGGTTCAAGCATTTCGCGAAGGGGTAGTTTGGAAGAGAGAGATACATTTTCCACCAATTTTGTATTGAAATTGAAGTTTATTTCAACTGTGTTCAGATTTAAATAATTAAAAATATTAAAACCAAGCAGAATCTGTGGTTGAAGTGTTATAAAACAAATTTTGAATGCTTTATCTCGTTTTGAAGTAAAACTAGCCTCCCTCGGTGATCCATGGACCATTCTATTTTCCCTCAGCTTCGCCTCGGGAAAATAGAATGTCCATGGATCACCTCGGGAGGCTAGGTTAACTACACCACTCGAAGCATTCAATATTTGTATATTAGCCCAGGTTCAACCATACCCAGAGAACAAGGACAGTACACTTAGGAGGTTTTGATAAATCTTTATGACCGCAGAGACCCTTTGTGCCTGATGAGGTATATTTAACAATTGTTGACTGCTGTGATGTGGGCTATGACATTTTGAACACAGGAGGGGCACCGATGGTGTTCAAAACATCATATCCCACATCAAAGCAGTCAACAATTGTTTTGTTATACCTCTGTCTTGGTTTCTTTGGGTTTTGATGTAAAAAACACGAAAACAAACAGCAGTCAACACAACAATCATGACAATTGAACGTCAACTCACATGCATGTCGTGTGCTCCAAACAGCTGATCGTCTGCTAGTTCGCTGCTCCCACTCATGTGTGAAAACATGGTGAAAATAGCGTGGCCACCAACAATATAAGCGTTTCACACATACCGTACCGTACAGTATATCCAACAGGGAGTGTGCCACGACTTTTTATTAACTTAACACGTGATCGTTCTGGGCCAATGAAAATACAGTATTCAAGACAGAGATATAACATTGCCACTTGTTTACAGCTTTGCATCCTGAAGCATATGGGAATTGACTCCACGTGGCTGCTGTTTCATTCTCCATTACATTGTTTTCATAAGATGGTGGCAAAGATCCCCTGGTGTTTTGAAGTACCTGATTTGTAACTTCTGCTATGTTCCTTTCTCTATGGTCATACAAATAACTTTGACTACTGTAGTTGGCAAGCCATACATCACACTCAGAATTTGTTGATGAGACAGTTCTATTTTATTAGAATGAAATTTGTTATGGACATTTTTAATCTGGAAGCTACAGATTAATCAAGTTTCTCCCCATTTACAAACATTCAAATTGTGTCAGTGAGAGAGAAAGACCATTTCTTACATTACGCTGTGTATCAGAGTGTGCATTTAATAATTGTTATTTCACCCTCCATTGTAGATGCTTAACACGACTTCAGCTGACATCTGCTGATGGTAAAGAAAATACGTAAGTTGGTTCTTTTTTTTGTGTCCATTTTCCTCACTTTTCTCACCATTTTAGCATACATTGCTTGTAAAAGCTTGCCCATCTCATGTTAGGAACGATTGATACATCTCTGTGCATTCAAATGCAGTTATCTTTCAACTTGTTGGAGAAAATGAAATTATTTGTGTATTTGAATAAGTTTTAAAAAAATCCTTTCGTGTTGTGTATGGTTTATAATTATCATGAACAGGTTATTTAAAAAAAAAAAAACTTTGATGTAGTTATTACTATATTACTGTTGTACGACTGCAGTTAAAGTAACTGTTTGTGCTGTTTGTGCATGTGTCTTATTTGTATTTATATCTCCATGCAGGACTGAGGCTAGTGCAGTATTATCATACTTGAGGACAGGTTAGCCAGGGAATACACATGTAGGGTCAGATTCATGGAAGGTGTTGCAGAAATTGCATCTTAAATGCTGGCTTTAAATGATAATGTGAATATTCACACCAAGTTCATTATTTGTTCATTCCTGAAGGTAGGATAGGAAATGGGACAGTTTGTAGCAGATCTGTTGATTTCGATTGAAGGCATATAATAATTAGAGACTAACTAGAGTTTTTAATAGTAGTCTCAGACACAGAAAAATAGAAAATTAGACCAAGACGAGGATTACTTAGCAGGTCATATTTTAAAATTTATTGGTTACTCGATTTATTGATTGGTTGATTGATTGAGATTTATTTATTGATTATTTTTATGTATTTTTTGTTTATTTTTTTGTATGCAATTTTTTTATATATATTTGGTTTTTACTAACTTTGTTTGTTTTTTTTTTAAATTTTTTTTAACGTATTGTACTTTTAGTGGTTTATAGCTTTTTATATATTTATATTTTTGTTTTTAGCCAGAGGTATTGGAATTGAAGGCCTTCGGGTCACAGTTTTTAGGTAAACTTTTTCAATTCGAGGCATATATGCCTCTGGTTTGCGTTTTGCTTTTTTTGTATTTTGTGATTTTTGTTTCTTTGGTTTTTATGCTGAATAAACAATAATAATAATAGTAACTAGTTCAAATTTCCTTCTTCAATGCATACTGTTCTATATTATTGTGAGGTAACTATGTATACTTAGGTAACTATGAATTCAGATCCTCTTGTCTGCATTGTTTTAGCGTATGACACTCTCCACAGTCATGCAGAGACTGTCATGGATGACACAGATATTGCCTGGACAGAAGAAGCAAGCTGGTTCATGAAAATATGTGAGCAAATGTTTTAATGACCTTCAAATATGAGCATGAGTTTCGTCTTGAAATGTTCTGTTTTGAGGGAACACATCTGATAACTTTTCATTCGTGCTGGTCCCAGAGGGCCAGCCTAGTGTCCTCTTTGTGCCTATATCAATGACTGACTGACTGTCACTTGGCAGCCGGGCAGTGCTATTGTATAGGATTACCCTGTAACACCAAATGAATTGGCTACATTCTACTCACCGTGTAGACTGGATGCATGGAAAAAAAAACTGCATGTGTATAGCCATACCTACATGATCAATTAATTAGAATTTTGTGCTCTATATGACCAGCTTTAGTAGACTAGCTTTGCCCTGTTCTTATGGATGACCGTTTTGTGGTAAACGTTTAATGTCTTTTTCTTTTTACAGCATGGAACATGGCGCTTGAATCGTCTGAGAACAGCACACTAACCCATGAGTTCTTCACGTTTTGCAGCAAGGTAAGACATTTTTAAGAAAATTGTTCAGAAAATAAAGTGAAATGTTGTAATTTGTGGTCAGTTGAACATTATGGATTTTGAGTCAATTTTCTCAGGGAGTGGTCTAAACCCTGTCTGTCAGCTATAAATGCATGACGTCATGTATCAATTTGACATAAAAGATGGTGAATAATAGACAGGGTTTTCTGCAATTGTGCGTTCAATTTTAAACTAAACCTAAATTGATTTTGAATTTGTCCTTTATCAGTTCAGTCATTTGTTGCCTCCTGAGGAGAATAACGCTGCTCATCAGAAGACCTGTCTGTTCATGGCAGCTGCTGCTGCTCTACAGATGGCCAGAGAACAGCTGAATCGAGAGGATAAGGTACGTTACATGATCAGGAAACCACTAATGTAGTAAGAAACTAGAGATTCGCGTTTGTTGAGTTACAAATGCAGAGTGGTCGGGCGGACAGCCTTTTCATTATACACTACCCAGATAAGTTAGGAATATATGTTTAAATATGTTGAACAAAGGATCACGAAATTAAATCCCTTCCAGTACAATCAACTTTTTTGTTACAAAAATGTATCTGTAACGGTAAAATGCTTCTGCTTTTGAGTTATATTCAGATTTTATTCACTTCCGGTAACACCAGAAGTGAAGGTCAAGCGGTTTTGTGTCCGGGGACAAGAAATGTTTCTCACGGCATAGTGTACAACCTCACAAAAAATGAACACGATACTCTATTTAGTTCATAAGGTATAGCGCAAACTATTTGTCAAAATTTGCCCTTAAATCGCTGGTAATTTGATACCTGATGACGCCATGATGATGTACATGTAACAAAGATTATAGCATCTTCGTAACATGGTTCAAGTTCACACTAGTTTTTATGATCATAGTGTAAACCGTTTGGAAGAAATTTTGCTTTGTTTTGATTTCAGGCTAAAGTCTTCATTTTGAATTCACCTTACTTTGACCTTCTGGTTGACCCGGAAGTAAAGGTCAAGCGAGTTCACGTACACAACCAAAACAAATGTTTATCAACTAATGGTCTATGTGACTACAAATTTGGAACATAAATGATCATTTTGTTTGAGTTATAGGTGAAAGTATTTGGCCACTTTTTCCTCTAAAATTGCTTGTAATTTGACTTCTGATGACTTAATCATGACTCCAGAGTAATATGCACCACTTGGGATGAGGGTCAATATATATTGAAAGTTACAAGTTCATATCACAAACCGTTCAGGAGAAAACCTGCGGAGACGTATTGTCCAGAAAAAAAGAAGAAGAAAGAAAGATTAATCGTAACAACTCACTCAAATATGTCAGCCACCATGGCAAAACACGAGAAAGAAAAATATTCCTGTAATGGTGGACTTTTGAGATGCTTGGTGGCAGGAAACACACTGGTCCTTTTCAATTGTTTACATTTACGTCATGTTTAAGCTAATGTGCGCATGCTTAGTATGACGCAAGCAATAGAAAAGGACCAGCGTGTTTGCTGAACAACACAACTAATGATTTATATATTTAGATATTGACTGATGAATCTATTAAACCACAGTAACGGTTTCAGCTTGGTAGTGTGGTACGAGGGTGTCCTCGCAAGCCTTCCATGACTGCTTCTGTGCCGAAGAACTCGTGGATGAATTTCTGAGTGGGTACATTTCTCAGTAGCCGCAGGACATGCGTGCTTCAAGGGTCTGATACTGAGCGGACCACACTTGCAGCGACGATAGAGTGTGTTGTTGGAGATGCGATGTGGTCACTGATCTTTCGTAAAAATGGCTTCTTGGAATGAGTCCAGTTGATCGTTCTTTTTTTTTGAGTGAGGCCCCAGGTATCCATGTTGTAGAGGAGCACAGGGAGCAGGAACGCATTGTAGAGGCGGGCGCAGACAGAGTTCCTCACTCCCGTGGTGATGCTGTAACCACAATGTTTTCATCTTGTGGAATGCTACATTGGCTAGCTGCTTACGATGGGCGACATCTTCACCATCTCCTAACAGTGAGCCGAGCTTCTTCGTCGCACGCCACTCCTCTCCTTCACGGTTTACCTGGCGGTAAATTGTAGTGTGCTCAGTTTTAGTGGAGCTGACAGTTAGAAACCATTCAACCAAACTTCCTGGTGCGGCCTGTTCCACTGTGTCAAGAAATTCTTCCGAATAACTCACAAAGTCTACGTCATCATCATCTGCTACATCAAGAGGAAGACCACCGTCTCTGTTGCTTCTGACGAAAACCTATATCTAAAAACCATATCTAAAAACCTATATTGATGAAGAGGGGCACTGTGAGGCCTGCATCTTTAATGTCACTTACGTAGAGCATGGGTCAAACAAGAATGATGTGGCTGAGATCCACATGCCTACATGTATGTGTGACACTGTCACCAAATGATATGAAGCTAGTTGCCTTGGTCAAGTCACATCACAGGGTTTATCAAACATGCGCGAATAGTTTTAGATCTTTTTTGTCAGAAAGAAAATGATTCATTGAGAATAGACCAATCTATAAAGCCCTGTACACTGCGCATGTAGGCAACTATATGTGTGTGACTCCAATGCCACATGGCATATGTTCCAGACACACAATGGGTGTCATATGCAAGTGCATGCATTACAGCGATTGTCTGACATTCGATTATACAATCGAGGCTGTATTCGGTTATAGCAACATAGAGTAAGATCAGGCTGTTGTTTTGATTGTGTATATTAGTTAGATATACCTGATATTCTGTTTGAAGTCAGTCTATTTTATTGTCTTTCAGCTTGCTTCTTTCAAGCAGTGTCTTGACCATATCAAAGTCTGTAGAAGCATCAGCCAGGAACTACAGACGGAACAAGGTAGGAAGGGATAAACTTTCAATTTTTAATGGGCTTTGAGATTAATTAATAGCCTCAATTTATATAATGTAATATCTATGCATAAATAGAAAGGACTAGATAGCTTGTAGAACATTCATATAAATCGTCCAGAAATTATTAGTTTGTCTTGTTTTAGTAAAAATTCTCTTTGCTCTTCCAAGGTTTGTTTTAAAATCCTTGGTCACTAGAAGAAGAAAATATTTCAAGAGTGTACTTATTTGGTCATTTGGTACATCAGTTTGATTCCATTTAATACTGTGACATATTTTGTGACTGATGTTTTTGTGGCAGGGAGCGATAGCAAAGAAATGGCATCAGTCTTGCTGACCCTGTATGAATTTGAAGCTCTGGCAAACCTTGGCGTTGTCTCTGAGCTAGAAAGGATCCTAGAGGAGGTGGTGTCCAACCCTGACACAGAGATCAAGACACTGGAAACCATGGCAGGTAGGGTGTAAAGGGCCTTCCCCCTTCCATACACTGCCCAAGCCCTAAGGCCTACCCTGTGAGCGAGATATATCATCTAGTGTTTTACTTTAACACAGAGATCAACACACTAGAAACCATGGCAGGTAGGGTGTAAGGCCTTCCCCTTTGCTTCCCATGCCCAAGCTCTGGGCCCTCCCCTGCCCTAGGGATTCCCGTGAGCTAGATATATGATCCTATAGCAGGGGTTTTCCTTAGCGGTCGCCCGCTTGCCAAATGCGAGTGAAAACAGCGGCGGGCGAGTCAAAACCCCCCTCTCAGTAGTCCGACGGGCGAGTCAAAAAACCTGTTAAAAAAAAATTAAAATAACAAAGTTTTCCCTACAGTATTTTTCAATCAATCAAAATAAAAAGTTAAGGGTGATACAACACATGAATACTTTTGCCACGCCGACCGAAATAAAAACATCGGTAGTTCGAATTCGTATCACTCCATGTATATTCGCAGTGCGCCGTGCATTGAAATCCCAACGACGAACATGAGGCGAATCAACGTGTATTTGCCATTACACATTGTGCACACATGCAGCGCACGTGATTGACTTCGTCTGCAGTCCACACGGTACGGACGTACATGTACGTACGTTAACATCGTATTCGTATCATACAACGTGGTGAGGAGAAAACTTTCATGACAGTTTCACTGCCAAAACTTGTGCCCGAACGGATTCTAATTGGGATGATTTCTTGAACACTATCAAACGAATGTACCGAAAAGATGAGGACAATATGAGATTCGAGGGGCCTATTTTGAATGTAAAGACTACTGAATGTAAAGTGGACCGTGCTCCGGAAAACGTTATGGATTGACGTGACCAGCGTAAGTTCGTGGGTCGCCCGCCCGCAGCGCTTCTTGGCTAGGCACGCTGATTGCACCATTCTTCGCTAGAAATGCATGGCGCGCGCGAGAGATGTTTTTTTGAAAATACTGGCCTTCTCACTCATTTTCAAACAAGTTAAAACAGTTCAGTTACTAACTTGGTAAACTCCCATTAATACCACGACTGTGTGCAATGTTTTCTTGTTCCTCAAGATAACGCTTTTTTAGTTCGTGTTTTATCAAAACATGTTCGAAATAGAACACCTAAAGCCTTAAGTTCGGAACGAAGCACACTGCATAAATTTTGATTATAACTTCTCCCCCTATTTGATTCCTGTTAATTAAAGCCTTGCTCTATGTTAAAGCATGGACGATTAAAGAAACATTGACATCACTTAAAAAGGAACTACATGCAATATTATGTACATGATTAAGATAATTGCCGATTGTATTCATATTGCATAATTTATTATCAAAAATGTTATCAAAAATGCTTATGGTGATTTGATTGAAAGTTACTATTAAAACATGTGGGCTAGTGAAAAAGGTTGCGGGCCAGTGAAAACTCTGGTTTACGGCCCGGCCGGCCAGTAAAGGAAAAAGTTAAGGGAAACCCCTGCCTATAGTGTCCAACCCTAACACTGAGATTAAGACACTTGAATCTATTTTCTTGGGTAGTGTATTGGAGCCCTCTCCCTCTGTTCTTCCTCATTCTCCCCTTTTTCCCATTCTCCCCTTCCCCTGCCCATCATCTCCCCTCCCCTAGGGTGGTCTTGAAGCTGGTTGAGATCCATAATCTCTAGTCCCATTATAGAACTTAAGGTATTAGAAACTATGGCAGAATGTTTTGGCCTATGGCGAGGTCCTCTTTCCTTTCCTGCCTACTGTTTGATATAATTATTCCTGGCCAGAAATCTTTATTAAAACCTGAGTTGTGAACACCAACAGTACTACTCCTGTTAACAGTTTACCTCAAAACCAAGTTTTGATGTAATTGTAAGAATATTGTACATCATCCAGTAAAAAGCACCTGTCTGTCTGTACTCTAGCCCTAACCATGCAGCCTCCTTTCCTGCCTTCATCCATCTGCAAGAAAGTACTGCAAGTAATCATCCAGAAATATCTCCAGCAACCTGAGGGTGTGGACCTCACAAAATGCAGGTGAGTATACTAGACGTAGCGTGTTCAGGATGGCTGAAACAGTCTCTGAATTCCAAGATTGCAACCAAAGGAACAAAATTGTCCTCAAATATTCATGCTCCCTATAAAATTGGCCTTTGCTGAGAATCTTGCCCATCTATACGACTGTACCTATGGGTTGTGACCATTTCCTTAAATCCCATTGCAAAGGAGGCTGATTGACTTGCAATATTTCCCAAATCAGTTCAGTTTATCATACAACATCTTGAGCTATTGTTCTCTCTAATTGTGAAGAATGTACAAGGAACATTTTATTAGTCAAAAGGAAGGATAATTCTTGTGTTCAGATAGTTAAGAAATGTTAAAATACACCAAATCTTTTTGGGCTGTACAAGACTAGCATTAACTGTAAATTAGGTATACTGCCCTCTTGTGTTGGTGGAATTATCAGAGTATTATTGTGGAGGAAATTGAGAGTATTTTTCTAATAAAATTCACATTAATCGGAAGCATATTATATAGTCTTCATAATACTCGATTGAAGGATGAAAACTTTTACCGCGTTTGTAAGTTATGACATAAAAACTGAAAATACCTTGCTGATTCCATGGATCGTTCCAATAGGGATGTTAAATTTCGAGCGGTTGTGTGGTGCATTGAAAAGGAGTGCAAACAAATTGGTATGTTAAAAAACGCCATGGCAAAAATCAGCTGCAGCGGATACGCCCTCGTGTTTGCATTGTTTGAGAGCATAATGAAACGCTCATTTGCTGATCGTGCCTTTTGGTTTTGGGCGTATCGGCTTTGATAACTTAGAATACAAACGCAGATATGCAAATAGACGTACAAAAGCCGTACAAAATTGCAAGATTCCCATAGGTTTGTGAACAAACATGGATGTGCCCAGCAGGCATCACTTACATCGAGCCAGCGCTCTAGTAATTTAATATAGCTCTATGCTTGTTCCTCGTATTCAAAACACAGTCTGACAGTAAAACTAATGTTTTTGTCTTTAAGACAAAAAGTTTGTGTTAATAACACAAAATAATGATTAATGTGCTGATTAATATTTGAATGCCTGTGTGTAATCTGTAATTCTCACTCAGTTCAATAGCTTCCAACATTTGTCATTCCATGGACAGCTATAAAAACAGATTCTATTACTGCATAACTTCTGATAGCAGGATCAATTTCAATAGTCCTTTTTTGCAAATGAGCCTACATGCTCTTTTAAGACATATTTCATTAGTGTATAAAATGGATTGCTGTAAAAGAAACAAAAAAAACATAACTAACTTCCTACTGTCTTTTACTAAGTACTGGACCAATTAGTTGCCAAAATCCATCAATCACAATGCTTCCAATACATGCTTTGTTTTACACCTCCAGGCCCAAGTCGATCGTACTCCATTAATATTTAGTTAAAGGGAAAATACAACATTTGCAAACATCAAAAAATAAAAACTACCAAATCATATTGAAATACCTTGCTGGACTGTTAGTGAATGACAGTGTAAAGCATCCTGTAAAATCATGGCACCTGGTATACTGTCATTTTCAAGAAAAGTGGTATTTTTGTATCAATTTCCAACGCTGGTCGGCCGACCAGCGTTGGAAAAAACTGGCTTTTTTTTCAAATACTGGCCCCAATTGACCATCGCACTTGTTTGCAATCGATTACACACCTATGAACGGGTACAAGCCAGGTAGACTGGTTCCCTGACCGTACAATTCCCCAATGTATGTAAACTGCTCTGTTTCTTCTTATATGGAGTCAGGGAACCAGACTACAGGAAAATGATTGTCTTTCTTGGTTTTTATAGCATTTTCGAACCCAAAACCTTAAAAAAGTCAGTGTAACTATATTTGCTATATATTTCCAACCCCCCAATTCCATCCATTTCTGAAAATTACAGCAAAAGCAAATGATGTATATTCCCTTTAAACCAGGCCTGAAGGACCAAGTCCCCGAAATCCACCAAAATGGGGGGATGGATTTTGAAGGAGTTGGGCAGGTTAGGGTACATGCAGGTCACTTTCTTTTGACTCTTTCTGCACTAATAGTACTGAATAAACTTGTTTTCTCTGGAAGTGTGGCCAGGAAGAACGATAAGGAACTCAGAAGATAAATTATTCCAAATCGATGAATACCAATGCTCTTCCTGTTTGGGGGAATTATTTACCAAACAATTGCTTGCCTAGTTTGACCCTGACTGCGTAGTTTCCTACCATATCCCGTCCACGTGGTCAATCGGCATAGTTTCTCTTCCTGTGTTTTTTCCCCTGCTGCAGCCGAGGGTTTTGTGTGCAGAAACTTGTCAGCAGGATGGTACAACCTTATAAAGTATTAAATTTGTCACATGGTTTCTTCATTGCTATCATCAGGTCCCATTGTTAGCATTTTTGTAGTGGTACATATTTACCAAGAAATGAATAGTGTTATGCAAAAAAGTCAGAATATACGTGTCTACAAAATTCCACTAAAAATTAAATTAATAAAATTCCAAGAAAGAAACCCAAAAAGTCTTACAAAGGAAATACATGTCAAAAATGTCCTCAAAAACATATAAAAAATAAAATTAAAATTAAAACAAAAAGTCAGATAAAGGAAATACATGTTTACAAAATTCCACTAAAAAATTAAATTAATAAAATTCCAAGAAAGGAACCAAAGAAAGTCTGATAAAGGAAATACATGTCTTCAAAATTCCTCAACAAAAAAATAATTAATAAAATTCCAAGAAAGGAACAAAAAGTCAGATAAAGGAAATTCATGTCTACAAAATTGCACGGGGAATTAAATTAATAAAATTCAGAGAAAGGAAGTGTTAGAGAACTGAAAATTCCGTGAATGTGCAATCAAATGAGAAAAAAAAGAGAATGTGAAAAATCCTGTCTTCTCAGAATCTGATTTAACTTACCCATGTTTTTTCAATTAGCATAACCACATCCATTGTTTTCTTTTACGGAGTAATTTCTCTAACTTAAGATATAGGCCTATGTAAGGAGTTCTTTACCCTTTAACACCTGTACCACATTGTATTACATTGTGTTTATTGAATGATACATCTATGATTTCTACATAGTGCTCGGGTGGTTTCAGGCGCAAAAGTGACTAATAGGCAGGGTGGTTTCAAGCCGTACAGTGACTGGTCTATTGTGGTTAACCCATTAGTACTTGTATTACATTGTACGGTATTACATGTGTTTATTCACTGAAGAATCAATAAAACCATAGAGTGCTGGGGCATTTGGGGCGCTACAGTGAGTAATAGGTAGGGCAGTTTGGGGTGCTACAGTGAGTAATAGGCGGGGCGGTTTCAGGCACTACAGTGAGTAATAGGCAAGGCGGTTTCAGGCGCTACAGTGAGTAATAGGCAAGGCAGTTTCAGGCGCTACAGTGAGTAATAGGCAGGGCGGTTTCAGGGGCTACAGTGAGTAATAGGCAGGGCGGTTTCAGGGGCTACAGTGAGTAATAGGCAGGGCGGTTTCAGGCGCTACAGTGAGTAATAGGCAAGGCGGTTTGGGGCGCTACAGTGAGTAATAGGCAGGGCGGTTTCAGGCGCTACAGTGAGTAATAGGCAGGGCGGTTTGGGGCGCTACAGTGAGTAATAGGCAGGGCGGTTTCAGGGGCTTCATTGAGTAATAGGCAGGGCGGTTTCAGGCGCTACAGTGAGTAATAGGCAGGGCGGTGTGGATGCTACAGTGAGTAATAGGCAGGAAGGTTTCAGGGGCTACAGTGAGTAATAGGCAGGGCGGTTTCAGGCGCTACAGTGAGTAATAGGTGGGGTGGTTTCAGGCGCTACAGTGAGTAATAGGCAGGGCGGTTTCGGGCGTTAGAGTGGCTAAAGGGCTAATAGCTGTGACTTGACTTATGAGTTACATGTAGTTTCTTCCATTGTACATTTTCCACGAGCACAATCAAAAGGCCTGCAGCAGGTTTTTATAAAAAAACAACAATGAATTCTCAACCACCCTGAGATATAAAAAAACTATTGAGAAGTGGACTTTAATTGTTTTGATTTTTTTTTCAGTGACTAATTTTTTTTCTTAGCCTGTTCCCTACTTTTTGTATAGAATTGACTCATTAACCTCATAATGCGATCAAGCTAAATGAGTCGTTTGTCGACCCTGGTCAATGTTTATTTTACAGATTTGAAAAGAGCACAATGTTAGCATTACTGCTGTGAAACCTGCATTCTCATACCATCTTTAGTTCAAAAGTTATGGAAGTCGGGACACCAAGAGATGTGATGAAGTGATGTGATGAAGTGGCCCTATTTTGGCCTGAATCTCTGAATGAACATTCCTGACAAACGACTCATTTAGCTTGATCACATCACAGTTGGCCTGATAATTCTTTTGTAATTGGATACCTTTGGGTATCTTTGGATATTTTGACTTTCTTTTTTAACAACAAACTTGATATTTTCGTCCACAGCAAAGCCCTTTATAGTATGATAGAGATATGCCTGAAGGATGGCAAAGTAAGCTATGATACAGCCAGCAGACAGGAAGCATGGGGACATTTCACTACAGCATTCAACTTGATTGAGAAAAGTGACAAGGTAAGATACAGCAATTCTTGATGGAAAGGGTAGAGGTTCAAATGAAAATGGGCAGGAGATCAATTGTTTGCTTCTATCATCATCATCATCTTCCTATACTGTGCAGAAACCTTCGCGAACCCCTTCTCTTAGCGATAAGCGTTACTGGGTTCTTTTACGTGCGTTAGGCCTTATACAACAAACGGGACCTACGGTTTTATGTCCCATCTGAGGAATGAAGCAAGATTGGTTAAGTACCTTGCTTAAGGGCACAAGTGTCCGCCGGCGGGCTCGAACCCACGTCACTGTTGCCTCTGAAACACAAAGAGCATGAGTCCAGTGCTCTAAACCGCTAGGCCATGACACTCCCCCTATGTGAAATACTACAAAAATTAAGCCTCCTACTTTGATTAAAAAAGTGTCTTCCCAAACAATAGGCTACATGTAAGAGTAGAGTGTTGGTTGGAAGGAAAAAGTCTAAACCTACAAGTTAACACAACTGATTTAGGTCACTCATAAGAGGGTCTGGCAAAAATGAAGTGGGTAGTTTACCATTTAACACTAAACTTATTTATATATTTGTTTATTACATTTCTTTGATTACATTGGGGCCCTGCATACACTACAAATGAATACACACATGTACAAATACAATACATTACAAATACAATAGAGCACAATGAAATAACATAAAAGCATATGGGATTACTGCATGATTGTAAAGCAACTATTATAAATATTGTACAACTATTACAAAGAAACATGTACAGTTTGAAACGACATCGCTAACAGACTTTCCTAAAGGCCTAAAATGAGGTGAATACAACTTAGGTGAATGCAACTAAATGGTAATGAAAGTTGCATTCCCTGTCCCCGTCAATCCATAAAGTAGATTACAAATAATGAATGTTTATGAGTGTAATGATGAGAATATTTTCATGAGTTGAAAGATTGAATGTTCCATTCAACGAGGCGAAGAATGGAACATTCCATCTTTCAACGAATGAAAATATTCTCACCATTGCATGAATGCAAATCATTCATTATTTGTTTTATATAACATCCAAGTACATCTTTGTCATTCGATTGGAGGATAAAACTTTAAGAACAAACAAAAGTCACAAAATTGTATCATATCCACTACTTTTTTTCAGCTTGTTCAAAGCCAACAAAGGTTTAAAAGTCAAATCATTGACACTAATGAAACTTAACATTGTAAGTTCCCAACACAGTGCAAAAAAATCATCAAGGCCACTGCATCAACTTCAAGTTTTGTACTGCTGAAACGCATGATATGGTCTAAATAGCGCAAAGATTGTATAGCGCCGAGCTGCTGCGCGTCCATGTGCGCGGCGTGCAATAGATCAAAAGGGATGGGACGAAAATGCACGTTGAATTGACGTGGCCTTGCAATGGTTTGATAAATGAATGCCGCATGACCTACAATCCTCCGATCAAATGACAAGGATTTACTTGGGTGCTATATAAATCCCTTTCATAAATTGCTGTTTTTCTAGCAATACAAAAGTTACTCACTTTTGACCAAAAAAAGTCGCCTCGCGTTTAGTTATTGAACTATTAATTTACAAATTGCGAATTATTTGCGGCCGACAATAATTCTGTTCTTGCGGGATAGGCTGCATGGTTCCCAACCCATAATCAGTATCGATAATGGACCAGGAGCCAGTCTTTGGGCCGGTGAGCAAGTCTTTTCGCAAGGCGGATCTGTTTGTGCCTAAAATAAAAACCTTTTTTTCTCAGAGGGTTGGAGATGACATCCACTCCCCACCCCAAAAAAGGATTTTGTGGGCAGAATAAAGTAGAAAATTTATTAAGAGAGAAAACAAATTGATGTTGCTGAATGGCACAATTAAGGAAATCAACTTCAACGCCTTTGGTACCAACACGAACATTTGATTGGGTTCATGTTGTGGTTTTAGAGTCTGGAGTTATTTGCAGACAGTAGGCCTAATTGCAGGATGGGACAGGAATCTGTCAGGAAACAGGAACCACTTTGTGAAATCAATTCACCGTAGATATTAATCACATCCACTGCAGCATACAACGATTGACCCTGTGTCACAGGCTTGAACCGTACATGTTTCTATAAATGCCTATTACAGAACCGGTTGACTCTGTGCAAATGTACCCTCTTAACAGTAACAAATTAGGCTGGATCGACTCTTGAATGCATTGCCACCGTTGGCCTGGGGCTCCCTCTTGAAGACATTACAGGAGTTTATGCATAATCGCACGAACCGCACTGCGCTTGAACCAGTGCGCACTGTTCACACGTAGTGTGTCTTGAAAACAGAGCTCTCATGCGCGGTCACTATACATGCTATAAGCACCATTTACTAAGGATGTGACTTTGTATCTAAATTTGTTAAAACGTTTAAACATTTAGCCATTTTACATTAAGGCTGACTCCTGCCCATTCGTCTGCACCTGTCTGCAGTTATAGACCGGCGTGATTGACATGATAAATCAACAATGATTGACACAATAAGAAACGGGCAGTCATTGAAAACGTAAAAACTTAACTACGTGTACCCCAAATGTAGTCCAGCACTGCGGTGCTTGAATGCTTTGTAAATTAAACAGGTTTGAAAACATAAATAAATATTTGTGCCATATTAACTATAAAGGAAGATCGCATGAATGAAACCCATCCCTTTTTTTATAATTTGGGTTTTGTTGAAACGTTTTGGAAAATTTGTATACGGTAGAATATGTTTTCGTTAATAAATATGTAAACATCACATCCTTACCATTTGCTGTTCATGATGGCGACTATAAAAAAACTCTCATCCAAATGTATTCAATTTGTGGTTAATCCTTGATTCTTTTTCCATCCATTTTGTCAATGTAGTCAAAAGAACCTATTCCCACATCAATCATGTGTGTCACATCGATGCAATCAACTGAAAAAGAATTCAAAACTTCCCTATTGAACTCTTTGCAAAATTGTCATGTAAAAGTAAAAGTTTCTTTTTTAAAAACAAACCCAAGACCATTGGAGCAGGTTGTGGGTTCGAGTCCCACCTGAGTAAACTTGTAACTTGTTTTTACTCGCAAGCCTTCCAAAAACACTGAACTTACAGTGCTAGTGACCTAACTAAATGATAATACAAGAACAGATGTGAGGGGAACCCTTTCATTGTTGCACTGTATAGCTGTACGGGTGCACAAAACAGACACGACCGACCTACATTTTTCTCTCCCAAGGTCACATATGGAAATCAGATAAAACAATTGGAACCCATAAAATGACCATTAAATGTTTTTCCTGTCATTTCCAGCCAGACAAATGACAGTCCTTCCTTCCAGTCAAAACATTTTTGATATCAAGATAAGAACTCAATGTACATTTATTCCAAATCTTCCTGATAGGGAAAACCCACATCCCTCCCAGGGTTTGTGACTTCTGAAACCGCAGTTTGTTTGTCAATTCCTTCATCAGTAAACAAATAAGTAATGAGTGTGTGTATTTCAGTGACATAATAATAATAAACATCTAAGGGTATTAACCTTTCTGATGTTGTGGCTTAAAGAAGACCAGCAAGCAAGACTAGTAAAGTTAGTCTCAGAGAGCACAAATTCAGTTCAGTTCATTCAGAATTCACGGGAAGTCTTTTCGTGCCCATGGTCTTCACAATGGGCCAAAAATTAACTAATTTGTGGATGACAGGGTAATCCTACACAATGCCTGGCTCACAAGTGACAGTCAGAAAGTCATTCAGTCATTCGGCCAGTCAGTTGGGGAGTCAGTCAGTCAGTCGGGGAGTGGGTCAGTCAGTTGGGGAGGGGGTCAGTCAGTCAGTCTGTCAGTTGGGGAGTCAGTCGGGGAGTCAGTCAGTCGGGGAGTCGGGTAGTCGGTCAGTCAGTCATTTGGGGAGTCATCCAGTCGGTAAGGGAGTCAGTCCGTCAGTCAGTCAGTTGGCGAGTGGGGGGGGGGGGGGAGTCAGTCAGTCAGTCAGGGAGTCAGTCAGTCGGGGGGGGGGGGAAGTCAGTCGGGGGGGGGGGGAGTCAGTCAGGGGAGTCAGTCAGTCAGTCAGTCAGTCAGAGAGATAGGTACTGAGAGGACACTAGGAACAAGTCAAAATACTTCAAATAAAAATTATAGTGTGCATATGTGGGACGGCAGATCTGAAAAACAAAACACCCTGATGTCATTAAATTCCCTGCCTTATCGGCACCTTTGAGTCTTCCGGTTGATTGGAGTCATTGTTCCTATGCATGTCAAAGTCATTAAGGGTCATTTAACAAGGTCATGAGCATGTCAGTTGAGAGTCACAGGTTCTATTTCCAGGGATGAGATCATATCTGCACGTGTGCATGTAGGCAATTATTAGGGTCCATGATGTGGCTTTTACAAAGAGACCTATTTTGTGCAAACATAACTGTATGAAGATAACAAGAAACCCTTTTGATTTGAATGTTTTTGGTGTGCACTTTTTTTCAGCATGTAAAATGTTCCATGCTGTTGCTGACAACTTGGCAATATTGCTGTCACTTAGGGCATACTCTCTGGCGAATCAGTACTAATTATGAACCCAAAACATGATACATAGCTTTTGACTGTCATGTATTGAAACACCAAAAACAAAAAGATTACCACAGCCAAAAAAAAACCCCAACGTCTTGTAACTTTTAATGTGGGAGCAGCTGTACATTGTGTAACACTGAAGCTGTTCACTTCTGCCTAAGATTACATCAAACTTTGGCTCACGAATATGTAAATTTGCATTTAAGCATAAATAAAAAGGCCATAAAAAAACTAAAAAAACTTTTTAAGTCAATACGAACAGTACAAATCAAGCTCAATGGGATGCAAGGATGTTTTTCGGGATAGCATTACAAAAATTGATATTCTATCATGGGCCAAAATCCAAAACCCAGTTTCATTTTTTTTTTATAGATCCATTGTAACCTTGCAATAATTGGGACTAGTTGATGTCGGAGTTTTGTTTCTAAGTGTGAGAAATGTATAGTGCTGGTTTACAGATTAGAATTTGGGTTGATTCAACAAGGTTCCAAGATGTTGGGGTAATCAGTAAAAAAGGTTAAATTATTTTTTTATTTATTTAAAATTTCACCTCTACCCCTTCAGAGGCGGATCTAGCTTTCAGGAAAGGGGTTTTTGATATTTGAGTGAAGGCATGTTTTTTTGGACGCCCTGCTAAGGGGGTCCAGGGGCATGCCCACGCAAAATGTTTAAATCTACGATGCTTTCTCCTGCATTCTAAGGCTGTTTGAGAATAAATTTGGGAATAAATTTTGAGTCAATGTTTTTCAGGCCATTTTACTAGTAAAACATTAGTCAGCAGCTGAACAGGGGGTTGTAACCCCCCCCCCCTCCCCAGATCCAGGACGGAAAAGGTTTTCTAATATCACAAATACATTTTTGTTGGATTTCGTGACACATTTCTCTGGTAGTACTCATGGCATGAATCACCAATGGCAGTATTTAGTTTTTACTACAACCAGGGGTTCATTGCACACCCATATCAAGAGGGTATCAGTGACGCTGTCAGGCATATAAATCTGTCGTCAGTGATGAATCATAAAATTGATATCACTCCTATGTGTCACTGTTTAGAGCTTGATGAGGAGGAACCCCAAGAACAATAAATAAACCAAGCAGTTGGAATGAACTTGAATAGCCATTATACAGCATACCATAGTGAATTCAAGAATTGCTAATTTAATTTATTTGCAGACACAAGCTTCCTGTGATATTCTCACTTTTGAATCAAATGTGAAGCGGAAAATGTCTTTGAAATAGCTACAGCTTTCGCAAAATTCAGATTAAAAAAAATAGTGAGTAATAAGTAATCTCGAGAGTCATGAGCAATATAAACTTTCAGACACTGCAGGAATAAATTCATCTGCTGATGAGAAATTGATGCGTACAAAATCTAACCCTTTTTTCCATCTTTCACTTGGGAGGTAACACACCGAATATACAGTGTTTATACGTCGGTGAAGGGCAAAACCTAATTTGATTTACACAAATTAATCTTGAACAGACTAACCGTTATTGTTGAGATTGGAAAGACTTTGTTATGTCCTGTTTCAAAATTGTTTTTTCCTAATAGCAGTAAGAGAAAATAACTACAGAAATTTGTAATAGATATTTGCTACATTGGTCTCGGACTACTGTTATCGTCAGTCCAGCATACCTGCACTCAACTAAATTGCCAACATGAGAGCCAGCAATGTGCTCGGCTTGCTACAACTAATAGTAATATTGCCATAAACTAACCTTTCTGATCAGAGCCAGCACTCTGGAATCGATTAAACTCTCATATCGGCTTTCCTTTCCTAAATGACAAGCAGATGACATCCAGTCCCGCTATTTCTTGCGGTGAATGTTACCTGATAGAAACCGTGTCATTTGAATTCATGATGACGCTTATTCAGTCTGTCATTTTAATGAACTATTTCTTTCAGATCGTGATGGCATTTCGATACATTTGCTGACAATTTTCAGAAGTATTATTTTTGCATCCTTCAGCTCCTTTCACAGTTGGTTAAACGTAACCTTTGTCAGGGGTGTGAAATCTCAGATTTAAAGCTGATTTCAGCTTTTGTTTGTTTCGGATTTCAGCTTTTTTTCCCTCTCTTGCTGTGTACAAAAGTATAGGAGATTTCCAAAGTTCAGCCTTTTTACACCTTTTTCAGCTGTTTTCAGCTATTTTTATTAGTGGTCACTCACATCCCTGCTTAGTACACAGATTGTCAAGATTGACGTTAGTTTTAGCTGTGTGTTGCCCCTTTTTGTTTGACATCTCTGTCCCTCCACCGTTGGATCTCTGCCAAGAACGATGGCAGAACTAATCTCATTACTCTTAGCGCCAGGTATTTATGACTGGAAATGTGCTTACAAAATGAAATTGAATCTTGGCAACAGTAACAATTCTCATATTTACGGGTCCTTCCCTTGGTACCCCCTCAGTGTGCCTGCAATGGAGGAATGTATACTCACAGATGTTTATGACATCAATGTAACTGATTTTAAAATCGAAAGTTCACGTCATGTCACCAACACCTAATCCCTATCCGTCTATCTTCCCGGAACGTTTTTATTAATTCACCAGCTGTGCTTATTCAATCCTCCCTTCCCCATAAAAATTAAAGATGAATTGCAAATCAAAAGAAATTTAAAAAATCTGTTTTGTAAATGTATCTCCTGTCTTCATTGTATTTCTTCGGACCGTTATCCACTTTTTTCTCATCACTTTGCTTCCTTTCCTCAGGGGATTACAGAATACCCTGAGATGCAGATCTTGTGGCTGCTAACCCGAGCCTGGAACACCGGCATACATCTACTCAGGTAGGTTGGGCCATACGCCCACTATGGACTCCATTCACGAGTAGTGGGCGCTCTGACCACTTTTGAGAGCTCCAGTGGGAAGGGCACAGTGCATGCGTTTACTTGTTCTTGCGCATAAAGCGTGAATTACGCACTACTAATTTATTCTGAATCTACACAAACCATTTGTATCTTCACGTGAGTGCTAGGCATAATAAGCAATGCATTCGAGTGTCCACCCCAATGGTCTTCCCCCAACCCTCCTTTTGTAACCATTAAAATGATGCTTGTGTATGTAGCCCATAAACATGGTCTCTTGTTGCTGGCTCCAGATCTAGCGGGGTCACTCTAGTTCATATAGTTATCTGTGAACATTACTTCAGAGTTAGTACCGGTATGTAATAATAATAATAACGGAGTCTTATATAGCACATGTATCTACCAACAATTAGGTACCCAAGGTGCTGGAAATTATGTCAATTCTTAAAGAAAGGTAAATAAAGTTTTTGAGAAATATGAGACTCATTATGTAGCACCTTACAATGGTTGACAAAGTGCTGCGGCGCACATTGCAGCCACTGCCAGAAACACAGGGGCAAACCCCTTCTCTTAGCGATAAGTGTTACTGGGTTCTTTAACATGCATTACACAACACACAGGACCTATGGCTTTACGTCCCATCCGAAGGACGAAGCAATAATGGTAAAGTGCCTTGCTCAAGAGCACAAGCACCATGTTCCCACGGTCAGGATTTGAACCCATGCACCACGGCACACGAGCCGAACACCGTAACCATTGGACCACAGCACCCCACAAACGTTTGGTATGTCTTAAACAAATTTTGAAATAGAGAATATGAAGTTGGGGATGAAGAAGCAGCCACATGTTTAGAATTGTATCTAGTAGTATGTGATGAAACCTTTCCTTTTGGGAGATATTACTCCAGATAAAGACAAGCGTAGGGCTAGGATATAGACTAGAAGAAATTCCTCGTTGGTTGGAGCAAGTACATGCAAGTGAATTACAGCCTTCAAGATTTTGGGCGACTGCCTTGTAGACCATAAACAGAACCAGGAAAAGTCATTGGTTGAGCAAGCGTATAATTGTCCAGTTTCTTGACATTTGTCAAGGATTGCATCATGAATCTGACGACCATCTGGGCTTCGACCCAGCTTCATTCTTGCTGCACTTGTGAATGATGACACCATGAGCTGTAAAATGCTGACTCATCAGTTCACTTTCTCCTGGGAAATTTGTCGTAAAAGGAGAATCTGCTTCATATCAGGATCTTCGAAAATTCTTCGGATAACTCATGCACTTTATCTCTTAAGCCTTTTGCATTTTATAACGTATTTAATGTGCCCTTGATCATTAGAGGGATCATCAGTGTGCAGTGAAATTAATGAGAATCTCCCTTTTGAAAACAATTGTCGATTTCCAAACAATTTACAGCTTTTAATAGTTTTGTTTTCATATGCAAATTTTATTCCATAATTGTTGAGGTGTTTTTAGTTGATTTTTTGTCTTTGTTGGTATGGGTGAAAGGGAATTTCACAAATGGAAAGAATTGTTTGTGATTGGAGAACATTTTGTTCTGACTTTGGAAATTCTTTCACAATTTTTTTTTTTTTTGCTGAATCAATCAAAGCCTTGAATTCATAAATACAGTACCCTCTGAAAGATAACAGAGAAAGTATGGAAATAATTCTTAATAGGTGATGCGATCAAGCTAAATGAGTCGTTTGTTGACCCTGGTCAATTTTTTTTTAAGATTTGAAAAGAGTACAATCTCAGCATTACTGCTGTGAAAACTGCATGCTGGTACCATCTTTAGTACAAAAATTATGGAAGTCGGAACACCAAGAGATGTGATGAAGTGATGTGATGAAGTGGCTCTATTTTGGCCTGAATCTCCAAATGAAAGTTCCCGACAAACGACTCATTTAGCTTGAACACATCACTTATTTCTTAGTAATTATATCGTCTATGTGACTTGGTTTTTTATTCAAGTTCCAAGGGCGGATCCAGGGGGGGGCCAAAGGGGGCCATGGCCCCCCCCAAAACGAAACCAATTTTTTTTTTTTTTTTAATGTGACATCGCAATAAAGGCAGGCAATGAGTACAACACCATCTTTTCCTCAAAAAAAATGGTTAAAGTGGTCAGAAATTGCCTCAGATCGCACCACAGAGCATCTAGAATCCAAAATTTTTTCGGGGCCCTGACGGGCCCCGAACCCCACGCCGTAATTTTTTAGACCCACTTTTTTTTGGGGGGGGGGGACCAAAATTTTTTTGGGCCCCCCCAAAAATTGTGTTCTGGATCCGCCCTTGTCAAGTTCAAGTATTTGTTTGCATATAAAATCAAGATATCTTTCAAGTCTAGGGATTCAGAGTACATATATACAAACTCATGAATTTTGAGGTCTGACCAACAGTCCCTGGATGGGTAATCCCCTCGACAGTTGCAGAAGCTGGGGCAAAAACATCTTGAGAATTGAGTCTGGTATGACATGATGGCCTTGATCTTACTGAGCTGACATACCAGGAATTAGTGTGGCGTCTGATAGGGTCTGGATTGCAGCTAAGGAAAGACTCACGTGGCTGGACATTAAATTACTGGGTTGGATATGAGGTTTGATGACCTTTATCCAAGGTTCTATGGGTACAATGTTTTTCAGTGCTAAAATTTTTAGAGGCATTTCAAAAACTTTATCAGAATGGATTGAGCATCCTGTTTTGCACTGGAATGGTAAAAATAAGGATGTGAAGTTTACCACATTGTAAAAAGTGATGTTTACTCTGATCCGCTCTAAACATGCATTTCATAAAAAATAAAGGATGCCTTACATCCATTTTATTTCCGAATATAAAGGAAAGTCCATTATGAACAATCTTTTTTGTAAATTGATGATGTCCTTTGTTTGTTGTGCACCTACATGTATACTGGAGCAGGCGGCAGCCTTTGTATAGTGGCTAAACATTTAAATGCTTAAACAGTGTACAATAGATTTGCTAAACGTTTACCAAATGCTACGCAAAGTCCCATCCTACATTCCCGAATTCAAGAATAAAATTTTACTCCTGAAATTCTGTACGTGTAGAATTTGCTTCAATAATAGAAGGATTGTTACTGTTACGAAAATTGGGTCGTACATGTAACTTGTTATGTTTGTTTGTCGTTTCTAAATAACAGTCATGTTACTGATCAAGGGCGGATCCAGAACACAATTTTATTTTATTTTTAAACAAATTTGGTCCACCAAGAAGTGGGTCCAAAAAATGATGGCGTGGGGTTCGGGCCCGGTTAAGGGCTCCGAAAAAAAAATTGGATTCTAGAAGCTCTGTGGTGCGAGCTCAGTGAGGCAATTTCTGACCACTTTGATGAATTTGTTTTGAGGAAATGATGGTGGTGTACGCAGTGCCTGCCTTTATTGCGATGTCAATTAAAAATAATAAATAAATTGGGTTCGTTTTTTTGGGAGGGGGGGGGGATGGGGGCATGGCACCCTTTGGCCCCCTCCCCCGGATCCGCCCAATTGTTACTGATGTTAAGTGTTGAAAAAATGTTATATGGAACTCACTGAAACTCCCAACCTGCAGTATCCTAACATTAGATGAATATTATGTGAAACTGAAGATCACTCCACTTCCCATTGGACCACAAAATAAGTCTTTGTACATGATCCTCAGATTAAAATTATCCACACTACAGTATTTACAAAGGCCTTTGACGCGTTAGCAATCCCACGATTCAACATTACCCACGATTCCTCACCGGCAGATCCCTGGGAGATGATGACAAAATCATGTGTGGCTGCGTGAGAGAGAGAGAGAAAGAGAGGAATCTTGAATTTCAGCGTTTGTGGCCAGATAGCCTTGGACATGCCTGGTTTCTTGTCAATGGAAGACCCAGCTGGCTGGCATGAAGCAGTCATCGTTATTACTTTTAAGACAAACCACTATGAAATGGAACCAATCAGACAATCAATTGAAGTGAACTGTACTGAGCATTTGTTGATATCACTTTTAACCGCTTGGGAAATCAATTTGTTAACAAAATTATTCAGTTTACATGTACTTTTAATCCTGCTACAGTCAAATTATTTTGTTCAACTTTACAATGATTATTACATTATGTATCTAGTCACTTTCCATTTGTGGTTCATTTGATTAAAATATTTATGCAGAACCGAGATATGTAAACTTGCTTATTAAAATGAAAGGTTTTACTGAAAAAAAAATAGATTAAGGGCTTATTACTACATACTTAACATTTTTGAAGCAAACGATCAGTATTTGTTACTATTATTTTTCTGATAATAAAACTGAATGCCTGGCATGTAATTTCTAAACCACATCTGTGAATTGAAACAGTACTCCTCATCAAAATACTAAATTGCGTGTACATGTAGTTTGAAAACGATATGTTAAACAATACTTGTTAAAAAGAATGTTTATACCGTTTTGGTTGGGAGCTCAGTCTGGCTTTGAAATCAATACGTAAGTTTTGTTTACAGCCTAGGAGGGCATCACTTACGTATTAGAGAATAAACTTCTAGTTGGTTTTATTAGCTTTTATTCGTTATTAGCTCGATGTGCGTCAGTGTCGTTTTTTTTTTCACATTCAGACTTGAGATAAATTAGGGCGTTTGGTGACAAGCAGAGGTATTTTTTTCAGGAAAATGCACAAAATATCAAATATGTGAATTAATCCCCCTTTTAATCGATGACCACTTGTTATGCTGTCATTAGTGGTGGTCAGATGACTGATGCAGAGAAATGGTGTGGTCTGGGTATGAGATTCATGAATCACCTCACGAGCCTCAAGTCCAACTATGAAGACAAGGTAAACTAATTAAGACACATTCTTCATAAGTTTGTTATTCTTACAATAATTTGGCCCTTGTGTTGATACAAGGGCATTTTTTTACACTGTACTGTGTAAGGTAACCTGACTGAGGAAGTCATTTAACAATTGTTGACTTCTGTGATGTTGAATGTACTTTATGTGCAACGCAGCGCATATGGGATAATTTATTTCCAACGCAGTGTATATGAGGTGATTTATTTGCAACGCAGTGTACATGAGGTAATTTATTTGCAACGCAGTGTATATAAGGTAAATTATGCAGTGAAGTGCACAATGAGTTAATTTTATGCAACGCAGTAGTGTATATGAAGTAAACCGTTTTAAATTTTACTTGGGCCACTCTCACCTGCGATGTCACCGACTTCAATGCCCATTGCTTAACCCAGATTCAGCATGTCCAGGTGAGAGTGGCCCAAGTACAATTTACACCCTTTCACTTAATTGATTGTATTTCTGGATCTAGGGACCCAAATGGAATGGGGAAAAAAAGGAGTGGATTGAGAAATAGTCAGGCTTTAATATACAATTTCATTTGAAGGAAAAAAAAACATCAAGCAGACTTTTCAATTACATATGTATTTGTTTTCTGAATGTTGCACTCTTTTTGAGCACACTCTCTATATGCTTGTGAACATCCATGAAAGCATGATGTTCTTGTTTGACCTATTGTTATGCTACCTACTGTGTAATGTGTTGCCACCAACAAGCAGCCGCGGTTCTAGAGCCAATATTTGGGGGGGGGGGAGGGGTATGAGGTTTGCTCATGTTGCAAATAAGTATAGAAGGAAAACTGTGGTACCTCACTTGGTGTCTTGTGTTAAACAATCACCGTCATGAGTAGACCACAGCACTTACCAACAATTTGAACAAATAAACAATAAATAGTTGTAAAGGGCAAAACCTAATATTGATTTACATCACCCCGACGCAAAGTCCTTCTTATTAAGGGAATAAATGTGTGCTTCGGAGGTTTTTATTACTCTGTTTAAGACCACTTAGAGTCTGGGTGCTGATAATTACCCGAGCCGGAGGCGAGGGTAATTGTCAGCACCCAGACTCTAAGTGGTCTTAAACAGAGTGATAAATACCGACGGAGCACATATTTATTCCCATTCATAAATACCTTTTCGTTTAGAAAAAATCATATAATTCGTTCAAAACATCCCGATTTTGTTCAACAAATTCACTTTATGCTTTTTGAAACATCCCTCTTGCAAAATAATGGAGTGTTCAGCTGGCGAGTAAGATGTAAACAACCCTTTTATGGAGATTGACGCACGCGTAGCATGTTCTGCGCGATGTCGCGCAGAACGCACCTGGCGCGTTGCGTATTGAATTTAGAATTATAAAATTCTGACTCCCTGGTAGTGTTGCGCATGCCTACGTGAGGATTGTGAACGTTCAACCAATGAAACGATAAGAGGCACTGGATTTTTAGGAGTCCACATTTTATTGTGACACTGGAAAAGTGTTTAAGACCAGCTAGCCATGTCTTTATCATCCGTTTAAGACCGGCCACGTGACGGGCTCTCGACCAATAGGAATGCGTAAACTGTCTAAGGTATTTATGAATAATAGTTTAATTGCAGTACCCGCTGCTACATACATGTACATCAGATTCGAACCAGCCAGCCGATCCCGGTAAGCTTGGTGGTCGAGTGGTAAGATGTCTGCACTAGAAAGCAGAAGGTCATAGGTTTGAGTCCCACCCGAGTGATTTTTTCCAACTTTCACTCGGGAGGTAACACACTGAGTATACAGTGTTTATACGTCGGTGAAGGGCAAAACCTAATATTGATTTACATCACCCGGACGCAAATCCTTCTTATAAATAAATAGTTGATTTGAAGACATTTTGCTCAGTGCTGTCTCTAACTCTTTGTCCTAAAGATACAAGAGTATTTTGTGATTCTGTTTAAGGAATCCCTTAGAATGAATCCTGATTTACTTTGCAGATGAAGAACATCTATGCAGAAGTCCTAGACAAGATTGAGAGAAACAAGTTGAAGGGTGTCGAGGAGGAGGAGTAGAGTCTTCCCAACATGAGGGTACAGTGACTGTAGGTAAAACTATCAGGACCTGCTTCCTTGAATATTGAATTGATTTGAATCGACTTTTTGAAACTTAGGCCAATTTTGTGGAACTACTAAGCATGAAAGTTTGCCGAGAACAAAATAAAATTGCTGAACAAAAAACAGATCACCAGACGACACTGGAATCACACAGCTCATGACTGATTATTGCTCCATGAAATTGAGCCCTCATCTGTGGTTAAAAACACTCAACTTAAAGGTAGCGTCCATCATTTGTAATTTGTGCATTATGTTTGTTTAAAGCAACAAAAGTGCTCAAAATCTAAAGAAGGGGGCTGAACAACTAACCTGATGAAGTTTCAGCTCAGTGAATGCTGTCTATTCCGAGAAACCAATATTCTAGGATCTCGATTTCAAATCAAAAGTTGCTGAGTCATGTTTTGAATTGGGCCTGAATTCAGCATCTTAAACACGTTCTCACGGAGCCAATTGCAGCTACGCGATGTCGCGCACTGAACCGACGAATTATAGCAACTGTGCGCGCGCGTGCGCCGTATCAACACTTGTGCGAGATTAGCTGAACAAAAAAACGAACTGCAAACGGAAGTTTCCAACGATGCGTCTTTAGGAAGAATAAATTCACAAGGAGTTTAGTCCCATTACTATCTTTAAACCAATTATGCTTTTCAACAATAGTTACATAACCAGATACCTTTTGGATAGCTGCAAATGATGTACCATATCTTTAATATCTTCAGTCTCGGAAATGTTAGTAAAATTATTCACACATTGGCATTTTCCACACTCATGTTTCAATCATGATGAACAGGGGAGTCATGTGATGGACTTGTTTTAATCCAGGACCGTCTTCACCTTCCATGAAAGTCAATTAGTGGTGATCTATTCTACCTTAAATGCTTGTTCTTAATCAGAAGTAGTTAAATAATTGTTGCTTAAATGTTTTTTTTTTTTAAATGTTAATGCCCGACATTTCAATAGATTGGTTTTTAACATGATTAACTATCAATTTTATTGTATATTCCTGGATTTTCCTTCATGAAGCATTAGCCATCTTCTTGTTTTCATGATGTGTTAAGTGTTTGCTGTTTGTTTCCCTGATTGCAACTTGTTCACTTTCTGAAACTTTAAAATGTTCTTACACAGGATGTGATGTTTCTGCCTCTAGTGTTGGTACCGAGAACAAAAATGAAAACGTGATGAATAGAGTGTTAATTTATGAGTCCACAAGTAACATAATGTAAATCAAATGTCCTTTCAAAAGTCCAGTCACAAGGTATGAACAGCTACAAAAGAATGTCATTGTCACGGTTCACTGAATTGACTTGTGAGGACTTATGATGGACTGGACCAGAACCTGTAAAAATGACGTACAATGGGTTTTGCTGGGTTTTGCATGTGAATTGCATCTTATGAAATTCAGGCAATAAACACAGTAGGCCTATTCAAAAAAAGTTAGTTAGGATTCCATTTTGTGTGTGCATTGGATGCAATTTCTCGTTTATAGTTACTAGTTTAATGTTGAGTGCTTGTGTCTTGTTTGAGGAATAATCCACTTAAGTACAGTTATTGTATTGGGGAAGAATTTGAATAAAGACAGTGTTATTTTGACTACCTGGTAAAAGGCTCTCTTTACTCCAAATATATTGTGGTGTAATATCAGTAAACACGTTACTTTTTCCACTGCAGATTTGCATTGAAAAGAGTGTTCCATATCATTTCTTTCAACTTTCTTTTGGTTTCAGAATGGACAGCATCTGTGTCGGGTTTGCACATTGATACTTTCCTAATCATCCATCTGTGCGTCCCAGGTTCGAATCCCAACCAATACATCACACATACAGAGTAACCTTTTAGTACCTGATTCTGTGGGTTTCCCCTCCACCTGAGAATGTGATCCCTGAATCTTCTTCCTATCTCTAAAACTCAACCTATATTCAACCTCTTCTCTGCACTACCTATATGGCACTACTTTCTTGAAGTGTTGAGTTACGCTGTGGGCAATTTTTCAATTTCACTGGTGTCAACAGATAGGAATGAAATATAAATAAAACATATAAACAAATATACTTCAAGATGGAAGTTTATTCTGTTCCTGTCACTGAGATTGATCCGACTGTCGCCAGCAGGTGCTGGATTTCATTCCCAAGTTGTAAAATGTCTGTTTATGTTATCAGCAGGCTGCATGTTTATCTTCAGATCACAGACAGGCTCGTTATAACACAGCGTCATATTTCAGGATTTCATGTCATATTTGGACCATTGCTGCCTCACACGGCCATTACTCTGTCTGGCTGTCTTCGCGGTTGCATTAACCAATCAAGCCGCTCGTATTGCCTGACTTTATGTTCCTTAAGGTGGTGGGCAATGATGCGAGCTGGGCATATTGTTCAGTCAGATGAGATTACTGGTAATTTCGTTAAAAGCATCGTATTTCATGAGCATATAGCTATGAGTAATTATAAACAATGTCTGATGATCTGTCGTCACCGGTATCTCTGGACTGTTGTCCAATCATTACTCAGTCATCCAGGCCCATAGCCAGCTTGGATGGAGCGGTGTTTTTGTCCATCTGAAATTGAACTTTTCTCGCTGGAGTTCTTGCATGCTTGCAATGAGATAGTCTAGCCAAAAGTCACATAAAGGCATATAGGATCATTTCTTCATTTGCTGTTCGTTTCCACTAATAACACCACTCAAAATCCAAAGAAGAATGTTGAAACCTAACCTGCTGAAGTTTCATTGGACACTACATGTATACACTTTCCGGACAAACCGATCTTTTGATCACGAAATACGATTTTGCCATTTTAACTCTTTATTCCAAAAATCATTTAATTGACTGATCGTTGGAAATCACCTACATTTCTTGATTGCTTCTAAATGACAGCGAGCCAGACAGAATAATTTCACGGTGTGTTTCCGAAGTAAGCTTTTGATAATTTGGTAGGTATTTACTTTTTAGGTAAATGCAAATGATCCTATCTACCTTTTTTAAAGAAGTTGTATCACAACTCCTACTCAAACGTGAAAAATAAAATGTTACTTTGTTCTGACAAGTACTGCGATTAAATATTAGCAGCTAAAAATGGTCACAATTTGAGTTGGGTCCCAGGCCGGCCCACTGCCCCACCACCTTCACTCCTTTTGATCAATCCTAGCTATCGCACACTGTTATCGTGTTTATCTATACACATGATTTACATGCAGATGTTGCTCTGAAATTAAAGGGGGCATGAAATAAATCTTTCGTAGGAACTTGTTTTGTACAACACTCTACTCCTCTTAAATGTATGAAAACTATTTGACATCCCATTTTGGTTAATTTTATTGAAAAGTGCTCTTCTTTAAACATTTAACAATTTCCATGCTTTTCCGGACAACTGAGGGCGCTGCTGCTGTGATATTTCAGGAAGACACTGTTCAATTTAGGGGTTTTCTGTTCAATTTGGCAACCCAAAAATTTGCTCATTGAAAACATTAGTGAGAAACTGGTTGGCTCAGTGGCTTACCAAAGAACAAAACAATTTACGAAAGTAACTGTAACATTGAGGTTTCTGCCTGAAATGACATCACACTTTGGCTCTTGAATATGGAAATTAACATTAGCATAACAACCAAAAAGGCACCAGAACACCCTTGAAATTTGCAAAATAAAAATTGAAATAAGGTTAAATGGGACACAAAGGTGCATTTTCAAGAAATGCTTTAAAGAATATATTGCATGCCCTTAAAAAGAGCGTCACCCCTCTGCCTCTGCTTGTGGTGCATTAGGGTGTTGAAGACTGCATGTTAATTATCAGTCGTATTAAAAATTTAAAAATTTTCACATATAGTTAGGAATTGGACACATTACATCCCCACAAATATATTTTTTCATGAACACTGGAAATTCTGTATATAGATACCATATGCAGGCTTGACATTTTTTACAGACATCTGAAATAAGACTTTCTTGGATCTGAGAGAAAGACATCATTATAGATAGAAAGAATGCGTGTGTAGACCTGTCATCCAATCTTCAGACTTTTGTTTAAATTGACAATCTTACCTGCATATGCTGGCTGCTTGTGTAGATAATGTAACCCATGCCTCATATTGCTATTCCTATTACACATAACCATATGGTACAAACAAGAATTGAATTCAGCAAATTCAAACCAAATACACCACTTTATACTGGAGACTTTAGCCCCTTTCCTTTCGGTCTGTAGCGCTTGTGAGAGAAACTGGCAAATCTTGCCCGGACAGGGTTCGAACCCGCAACCTCCTGCTTGCATGTGCAGACAACTTGCCTGAACAATATTGTGCCATGGATTACTGAAGCATATATATTATGCAGTCTTGCAAGTGTTAGCTAAATATTATTTGAGTGAGTTTGCATTGCGAAAAAAACGTGGTGTTAATGTAACACCAGTTACGGACCAACGGCGTCAAAGTGTTACACCGGTGAGATGGAAACTGCTAGTTGTGTTGAATTTAACACCGATGTTTTAAGTATGTATGCAATATTCATGGCCAGTGGGATGAAGGGTTGATGCAACATTCGTGTTGATGTATTTTTATGGTCGTGAAAATGCTGCACATTTACTACATGAATTACTGAATACATTTTCTCCTATAGTCAAGTAGTACATATTGGACCCATGTGGCCGCTAGCGAGCCATCGGCTATTTTCCCTGAATATATAATGTTGATGCACACTGTCTGTGATGATGAGTCCGATGGGACTGCAATACTAGCTATGGATGTCATGAGACACGTGAGAGCAAAGATGAAACGCAGACAGATGAATGATGCACAAATACCCTGTGAAAGGAAATACTTGATGCACCTGTCATGCTGAAATACAAACTGCTTGATAGGACTTTATACAAAATGTGCTGTTTTCACATGTTGATAAGGGGCACACAATGAATTTTATTTGAGTGCATGGTTTGCATTTTTAGCTATGGTGAACGGGAATTTACACTTGTAAAAAGGGCAGTTCTAATTCATCCTATTGTGTGATATCGGATTTCTGTGACCACCTGAAATACGTACATGCCAATTTAAAAGAGGCCTATATTACGCCCTGGTGACATTATTGAAGGCACTAAGATCACATTGTTACAATTTAAAAGTGTAATACGTGTAAATCGTTGCTTTCTATACAGGCATCTCATCAACTTGTCAAACTTGAAGAGAAGAGGCTTAGTTGTGGAGTTTTTGGTGTTTGTGGATTAATTTCCAATATTCAATCGGCTGGGTGTACATTTTTACGTACATTCCAAAGAAAGACGGAGAAAGTTGTCCTCCTCCTCTAAAAAAGGTTCAATGTTTGCCTGAGTTTCA